ACAGGTGCTTATTTTTTTTCTTAAAATCTTCTTGAAAAGTGCTTATAGGTGCTTATTTTTTTTTAACTAAAATGTGGCTATGAACCCTGTGTAAAGCTACATTTGTCCTTAACCCCTTGGGTACATTTGATGTCTGAGACATGTCATTCACTCCCCCCCCAGGAGCCAATGACGTGTCTAAGACGTCAAACCAAAAATTAAACTCTTGGGTACATTTGACATCTGAGAGACGTCATTCACTTGTTTTTCCTAGGAGTGGATGACGTGTCTAAAATGTTATTTAAGGTTAGGCACAATTCTGTTCATTTCATTGTAGCTTGTATCAGTCTTAATAGAAGAGGCAATTACAGTGTTTCGGTGAACATTATTTGTGATACACTGCCCCATTATGTCAAAAACAAGGAATATGTTTTATGATAGTGATAGCGAAAGTGACTTTAAGAAATCTAAAGAAGAATTGTTTAGTGATCCTGAAATTGACAATTACAATGAAATATAAAGCGAAGATGATGAAGACGATATTGAACTAGAAAATGATGACAATTGTAATATAATATCAAGGTTTCAAAGATGCACAAGACATCTATCGAGCAGTGATGGTGAATCTTCTCGTGAACCAGAAAATGATGACAATTGTAATATAAAAACGAGGTTTCGAAGACGCACAAGACGTCTATCGAGCAGTGATGGTAAATCTTCTCGTGAACCAGAAAATGATGACAATTGTAATGTAAGACCAAGGTTTCGAAGACGCACAAGACGTCTATCGAGCAGTGATCGTGAACCAGTATCAGAGGAATGGATTTGGGAAGAATAAGAAAATGTAGCCGATATAAAAAGTTTTTCTGAAATATCTGGAATTAATCCTTTGAACCTGCGTAGACTAGGTGGTAATCCTACACCTTTAGGTGTCTTAAATGAAGATTTTTGGGACGCTGTAGTAGAAGAGACAATTAGATATGCCAGGCAAATGATAGAAAAAAAAAGGTTGTATTAAAAAAAAAAAAAAAAAAAAAAGGTGGTTTCCTGTAAGTTCTGATGAAATAAATGAAAGCTTATAATTCCATTATGCATCTTGATGTCGCGAATGAAGAAGCCAAAAATGCATATGTATTGGTTAAAAAGATATGCAATAAGTACTCCAATTTTTGCCAGCACTATGCCACGCGATATATTTTTTGATATTTCAAGCTTTCTACATTTTACGGATAATGAAAAGGAAAATAAAGATAACAGAATAGGAAAGATTAGAAATATAGTGTATTACCTAAATAATAAATTTTGTTACCTTTATACTCCTGATAGTGAAGTAGCTATTGATGAATCGCAACTAAAATTATATCCGTTCCACATGCAAATATTTTCTCAAATAAATCCGTACCCAAGGGGTTAACCGCTTGCCTGATTATCCTGAATTATCTCGTGTTCGTATATATTGCAGTTAATTATCATCCCGAGAAAACTCGGGCAAAGCAGAATTTGTCAATACGATTTGTTTTATCACGGTTTTACTCGACCTGGTGGAAATGAAAGGAAATATTCAGCTTTTGTTGGAAGTTCGCCAAGTTTTGTTGGTTTCACGGTTCTTTTGGCGGGACTGTTCACGTGTTTTCTTTTGTTCACGTGTTTGTTTTGTCTAGTATACGTCTAGTAGCTTGTGGATTAGTAATGTATAAAGAATGATAGTTGCCTTGAAAAAAAATAAAATAATGGCAATGATGCAAGATAGCGAAAGCGATGATTTTTCCGATAGTGATTATAACCTCAAGGCATTTTCCAGATGTTATTCCTGCTACTGACAAAAAAATCAAATCCAATGAGACAGTGTTCTCTATGCTCCCGTAAAAGAGATTCTAGAGGTAAGCCAGTAAGAAAAGAGACCAGATACCAGTGTATACAAGGTTTGTAGCGGTCCTTATAAGTGCTTATAAGTAATTATATTTGAAAATAAAATATAAAAGCCCTTATAGGTGCTTACTTTTTCTTTAAAGTCCTTATCTTTTTGTTTTTAGTGCTTATTTTTTGCTTTTAGTGCTTTTTTTTTTCTTAATGAACGCACTATTTTTCCCCGTACCAAAGCCGAAACTAAATAAACAACTTTTCTTCCTAATATGGAATGTCAGATGGTGAGTCATACTCCTGGAAATAGCTTTTCCCTTTCTCTGCATTAACATAACCTTTGGTGTGCACGAAGAGTACAGACTGGTACCCGTTGTTCTATTAGTCAAAGAATTGTGAAAGCAGTAGAATATTCCGCTACATTCGGCATTCTTTTTCCTCCCACCCAAATACTACACACGTTTGAATTTCTATCAAGGTCTTAAAAATTTGCATTCTCGTTCTGCTTGGTCAGTTCATATTCGTGTTTACCTATGATCGTTATGCTTATATTATGAGCATATGTATGAATGTTTATAATAACATAGTTGCAGTAACTGCCGAAGTATAGTAAACTTCCAAAAATGGTTGTGTTTTAACACAGATTAGCTTTCTAAGGAATAATATTTGGAATGGCTTAAATAAAGGGAAAGTAATCGAATAGTCAAAATAATTTCATTTTTTTGGCCAATATATTATACAGTACGAAGATTGGGAGGTTCTAACCCTTTCTCCGCAAAATCTCGAATATTGAAACTGTTACAGTTCGCTGCAAAACAAGCAACGGACTTTTTTTTTTTTTTTTTTTACTTTTGTTGTTGTCACTTTCCAATCTGGATTGAATAGGACTAAAAGTTCTGCGGTCTACCAACCCAAGCGAAGAATGATTCTTTTCCGGAAATTTAACGCCGTCTGTTGAAAATTAGAATGAAAAACACCCCAGTTATTTAGTTCTTTATTCTCTCCCCAATACCGGCAGCTGTTGATTCCGATTGCGTAATATCACGTAGGAAAGAATTACGGCGCACGTATTGCGCAATAACGTTTGCGATATTTTGCAGAGATAATTAATTTTGATGTTCTGTCCGTCCAGAGATTTGTTTATGAACACTTACTTAAACTGAGAGTTTTACTGTGCTTGCTAAGCAGAATATTTTTCAGTTCCATTGGTTTATTTTTATATGATGCACATATCGAAATGTCAAAAGCATTTATTTAGCGGAAAAATCTAAAGAGCGGCTACAGTCTACCCCCCCCCCCCTCCTTTTTTCAAGTTACGCTCGACTGTCCGAATATTCGCCAATTTCCAAGTATGCGGGTTAGTTAAGCTTTTACTGTTAAAGGATGGACTGCATGAAGCAAATTTCTGTCTTCTGATTTCAGAAATGTTCCTCTTTTTACTTAAATTACTTTGCTTGCAATATTCTGTTAAGAGAAAACTGATATACAATGAAAATTTAGAAAATGTTCAGAACTAATTTAGATTTAAATTATTTAAATATTAATATGAGTGGAAAAATAAATTGTATTTATTATTAGGTTCAAAACCAATACAATAAATATGCCTTATTATTATTTATTTTTCCTATTTTGAACTGAAATTTCATCATTAAATCTTGTAATATAGTTTAGTTCTTCATAGTTTTTTTTTTTTTTTTTTTTTCCTCTCATTGTAAACTAGTTCTGTAAATTGAACTATTATTTAAAAAAAAAAAAAAATATTTTCCATGGTTGAGGTAATGCTTATTCTCTCTTAAAGAATACTTCATTTCTCATATTTTAAATTACAATTCTAATTTTTAAGGTTATGCAGTTGTGTATGATGTAATTAGCCAGGTGCTTATTTTTTTTTTCTTAAAATGTGCTTGAAAAGTGCTTATAGGTGCTTTTTTTTAACTAAAGTGTGGCTATGAACCCTGTGTATAGAATGTGAGGTATCACTTTGTATTGCCCCTTGTTTCAAAAACTCTCATGCAACAACTAATATTGAATTTTTTTATGTGCCCGAGATAACTCGGGATAGTAAAGTAATATTAAAACTAAATGCTCTTACACCTGTAAAAAATTAAAAATTCAACTTAAAACCTATATATTTGGTTTTGTTTCATTTCCTTGTATTTAATAATAAAATAAAAAAAGTGATGATATTTTGCTTTTTTTTTTTTCAAAAAAATGTATAAGGGAAGTGGTTAAGTAAGGTGATGGAATCTGTAGGCAATCATACTTTGTATTGTAATTGCAAACTTAATTAGTACAGTTCCAGATACTGAATGTCCAGTATCTGGAATGATTTAATACTTGACCCTTCAGACCATCAACTCAAATAATATAATAATAATAAAATCCCTCCCTTTCTTTAAGTCTAGGAATGGAGAATATAATACTCAACAAAAAGAGCAGGTCTGCCATAAATGCAATTTTTCTTCCGACTAACCCTGCATTCAAGTACCTGCTGGTGAGGAATGTATCATCCTGGCCGATGACAATGCATTGATTAATGTTTGCCGGGATCACTTTTTTGGCTCTTCAGTTGTTGTGGGGGATTGGTGTTTCTCTGTCTGACCTAAATAATAAGTTCAGTCCCAATGTTATCGTGTCTGTATGTCATTTTATAAGATTTAAACTAATGATCTGGAATCGCCGAAGTCCCAAAGTTTAGATCTTTGAATTTGTTTACTGTATTAGGGTTTTGGAAAGGAGGGAAGAAAACCTATGTAGGAAGACACTGGTTTTAAGTTCCAGCTGACAAAAGGGGCTAGCATCTGTTAAACCTTCAATAGAACAAACTAATGTAGCTGTTAACATATGTAGAACTCATCCCATTATTATTTATATGCCAATTATTGCTCCATTCTTTTCATATATAATACAAATTTATATCAGTACTTTATGTGCCAATATATGTAGAAATATGATGCAAATGTTTATGCAGATTTGTAAAATCATCAGTGAAGTAATTGCATGTGTCATTAGACATATCATATTTTTCATAATGCAGGGATATTTAATGTTGTAACATTCTGTGATTATTAAATGTCTTTTTTTATTTAATGAAATCAATAAAATGGAAAAAAATTAAGGCTATTCCTTATCATATAAAATGTGTGTATATGTTTTTTTAGGAAAAGAAATCCTACAGCATATTAAAAAATGAATACCAGATCTTGAAGTCAGAGTTGGAGAAAAAAGTTATTTCTCTTAATAAGGTAATATTAAATTATTTCTAATAAAGGTATTAGTGAGGACAAAAAAATTAGAGAATCATTCAAAAGTGCTTTTAGAATTAAATACAGGGAAATCTTTTTAAGGCGACAATTCATCATTTGAGATGATTTGATTTTTATGTGGAGTTGGTTGCTTGTAAAGTGTAATTATTATTTAGAAAGACTTAATAATTTGAAACTAAGCACTTTGAGTCACATTGTTAAAATTTTAAGTCCGAGTTTGAATACTAGCTCAAAATGTATTGAATCATAATGTCAATATACCAAAGCTGAATTTGAACATTAGCTCAAAATTTATTCAGTTTTATTAATTAATGTCATCATATTTCTTCAAAAATTCATGTTAAGAATTAGATTAATATTAAACAAGGCTTTGCACCAGAGCACGGCTTCAGTACTTCTTTCTTAGTTTTGGGAATAAATCGTAATTCTAGCCGGAGCGCAGTGGAATTCTAAATAAGAAGGCTCTGCCATTATGTTTATGTAACTGAATAACAAATTCAGAAGAAATTTGATCTCAAATTTGATTTTTAATAATAAAATTGTACTAAAAACCGATTTTTAACTTCTGAAGGCATGCCTTTCCTTCATTGGAAAATAAACCCTTGGACAAAGGTCGAGACTTCTAAGGTAAGAAAAGCTTCCACCCACATTTCAGAGGCTTATTCTCCAGAAAGTACAATGAATTTGTGACAGTGCTTAAATTTTCTTATTCCAACACTATTAGGGCAGTCCGATAGGTACTTAGCCTACAAAAGAAAAACGAAAATATTGGAAAAGTGGCGATTTATTTCTCAACATAGTCTGCTTTCAACTCGATACACTTGACCCAGCAATGCTCCAACTTCTTTAACCCGTCTGAAAAATGTTTTCTGGAGGTCTGCAAAGTAGGTCTCTGTGGTGGTGATAACTTCCTCATTCGACTAAAATTTCTGCCCGGCGAGTGACGTTTTCAAGTTTGGAAACAAAAAGAAGTCACACGGGGCCAAATCTGGAGAATACGGTGGTTGGGGTAGCTGTTCTTATCCTAATGCGACCAATTTGGCCGTCGCAATGGCGGAGGTGTGAGCCGGTGTGTTGTCATGGTGGAAGAGCACTTTTTTCTTCGCCAAATGGGGCCGTTTTTTCTGCAATTCAAGGTCGAATCGGCCCAACAGTTTGGCATAGTAGAGCCCTGTGACCGTTTTGTCCTTCTCCAGGTAGTCGATGTAGATCACACTTTGTGAATCCCAGAAAACGGTGGCCATCACCTTTCCGGCCAATGGGACCGTCTTCTCCTTCTTCGGAGCACATTTGCCTGGCAAAGTCCACTGTTTTGACTGTTCCTTGGTCTCTGGTGTGTACCAGTGAATCCATGTTTCGTCAACGGTCACGAAACAACGCAGAAACTCCTTCGGATTGCGCTTAAACAGTGTCAAACACTACTCTGAAGTGGTCTCGGATGCGCTTGTTGTCCGGAATGAGCAAACGCGGCACCCATCGAGCCGACAGCTCTCTCATGCCCAATTGGCTCATCAAAAACTGATGTGCGACAATGTTGAAATTCGTTATACCAATTTTTGATGGTCGCCGTTGAAGGAGAAGATTCGCTGTACACAACATCCAAGCGCATCGATTTCCCTTCCAAAAACAAGAATTGAATCACCGACCGATATTGCTCTTTTTCCATTTTTCTAAAATCCGTGGACACGCCCGCTTCTACACGCGGTCAAATAAAAACTATAAATCCAATCTGGCTGAAATTTTGACAGTAGCCGTCTACAAGGATGTACTACACGATAATAAATTTCTCTTTCGATAGTGGCGCCATCGGGCGGTGAGGCTAAGTACTTATCGGACTGCCCTCGTCGTGTCTTCTTGTGGAAAAAAGCACCTGCAGGCTTTTTGGAATGGTGTAACCAAAGACGGGTTTGAAAATTGTCACTTATTGCTTTTTTTTTCAGCCAACCCTCAGATTTGGAGAAATTTTGTTCTGCTGTCACCATCTGCTGGATAGGTAGAATTTTATTGAGATGGTCAGAAAATGTTTGACTCTTTTCTTTTTATTTTCATATCTGTACACCATCTCCTAAAAGTTTTTCTGTATACTGTTCTGTTTATAGCATTCTCTCTAGTATCATTAATGATACTTTAAATATTTTAACATTTTTCATTGGTGTGCTGGAAAAAGAATGGCCTTTATTTCTATCATTCCAGATATTAATTTCAGCAAAAAACCGGTTGAGCTATTTCTTAGTTTATGTGTGAAATTTTTAATTCTAGCTGGAACCACGAATAAGTCATTCCCTTTTTTTTTATTATTTAACTATTTACTATTTATTTAATAACTTATTAAATTTTTATTTATCTCTTTGCATTTTATTAAATTTAAATTATTTAATTGTTCTAATAATTAATTACGTAGCTATCTTAATAATTATCTAATTTTTAATATTATTTATTTTTTAGTCATTTATTTATTTACTCTTGTTCCTTTTACGTGATGGTCTTATGTAGTGCTCCGGCACTTCTGATTTTAGAAATTAATCCCTGATATTAAAAAAATAAAATAAAAATTGATCTTTATTAGCTTACTCTCGAAAGTTTACCAATCAGATAAGCTGTATTATTGATATGTATTACTGATAAGCCAATGAACACCAGTATTGTGTTGTATGTGAGCCAGTGAACACCTGACTATCAAATTATAAGTAAGAATGAGAACTGGTTGGACATATCTTCTGACAAAAAAGTTATGGGAATATGGAGTTAATAACTTATTGAAACTTCATGCACAAAGAAATTAAACAGGGAGAGGGAAATAGAACCTCAAAACTTCAGACTTTCAACAATGGTGCAGGTAGAAATTGGCAGGACACCAGAATTTCACCAATGGTTCTTTAGTTTTGAAGAACATCCTGAAAGGTGGTTTGAGGGTCTTCCACCCCTCTTTCCCTACCAGCAACCTCTCAAAAGGACTTTTGGCTTGACATGTATTTTGAATGCTCTCCTGCTGCACAAGACTCTCAGCACAGTAGGTCAAGCGGAGAGACCGAGAGACCTTTGTCGCTAAAATAACTTCCAAAGACAAAAATGTGGCAATAAGAAAATCCAGTACTTATTGTTACAGCCCCCATTTTGTAAATGGTCCAAGATTGTTAATGAATTATCAACCTAAACCATCATCAAATGGCTGTCAATCCTAAGCATTATTATTTTCAGTTAGCTTGTAACGAGTAGACTCTGTCATGAAAACAGCTGTGATTATTCCACATGTAATGTATTTTCTTTTTTAAAAATATTTAAAATGCTTTATTTACTGAGAACGCTGTACCTTTCTTCTAAGAACCTAACATTCAAATGTGTAAAAATGGTCATTAAATAAAATTACGTAGGTAAGTTGAAAAATAAGTTTCCCCCTGTCGACTGTGGTCAGAGTTGTGTATGAAAGTCAAAAAATAGAATGAGACATTAAAGGTATGAAATACCTTGATTTTATTATTCTCGTACGATTACGTTGAGACATTTGTCATATCGCTTGATAAGCTTCAAAAGTCCTCCCAAGAAAAATTCACGCTTTGCATATGAAAGAAGCGTTGAACGGCTATGGGCGAAAGGCGACACAGCAGGAAAACGCGCAAGTCACCGATACACCATTGGGTAGAGGTCGCTGCAAATCAAGCAGATGGCGCTGTTGCAGTGCCTGCGCAAAGCGGAGACCAGCCTCTCATTTGAGCCCCGGTAGGTATGGAGAGAAGGTGCATTTTGAATTCGTGGTCAAATGAGGAAGTGAGAGCGGTTATCTGCTATGAATGGGCACGTAGAGTATCAGGAACAGAAATTCATAACTGCCTCGTGGAAGTCTATGGGCCAGGTGTGATGTCGAAGCAAATGATGCGGAGATGGTGTCGCACATTCAGTGATGGACGTCAGCAAATGGAGGACATACCGAGAGCTGGACAGACGCGCACGGCCACTACAGATGCAAATGTCAGGAAGGTGGATGACATGATTAGAGCGAACCAGCGTATCACCATCGATGAAGTAGCGGAAGAACTTGGAATCTCGCATGAGCGAGCTCAAAACATCATCCACGACATTCTTCGATACAGAAAAGTGTCAGCACGATGGATGCCTCGACATTTGACCTCGACACACAAGGAAAAATGCATGGGGGTCAGCCTGGAACATCTCGTGCGTTACCATGAAGATGGCAATGACTTTCTGTTTCAGATTTTAACGGAGGATGAAACGTGGGTCCACCATTTAACGCCAGAATCGAAGGCTGCATCTATGGAGTGGAAACATCCGTCATCACCTGTCCGAAAGAAGTTCAAGACAACTCCCTGTGCAGGTAAAGTGCTCCTCACAGTTTTCTGGGATGCAAAAGGAGTTTTGTTGCTGGACTTTTTGGAGGTTGGAACCATCAATGCTACGCGCTACCCAGTCGAAATTGAAAGGGGCGATTCGGAAAAAGCGGCCTGCCCTTCTCACATCTGGCGTTCTGCTGTTGGATGACAATGCCAGACCACATTCGGTGACGGCAACGCAAAACTATATTGCAACTCTTGGTTGGGAGCGCCTACATCATCCGCCATACAGTCCTGATCTCGCACCAAGCGACTTCCATCTGTTTCCGGCTTTGAAGAAAAATCTTGGGGGAAGGCGCTTTGGAAGCAATACTGAAGTGAAACAAGCCGTTCAACGCTTCTTCCATATGCAAAGCCCTGATTTTTTCCTGGAGGGCTTTTTGAAGCTTATCAAGCGATATGACAAATGTCTCAATGTACTTGGTACCTATGTGGAAAAATCAAGGTACATCATATCTTTAATGTCTCATTCTATTTTTTGACTTTCATACACAACTCTGACCACAGTCGACAGAGGAAACTTATTTTTCAACTTACCCTCATACTTGTCATCAAAAACATTTGTAGGTGCAGCATGTAAAGTTAAATGAAGGAAAAGCATTTGCTGTGATAGGTGGTTCACTGGTTTCAGAATATTGTTTGTTACAGTGCTGCAATTTATTTATCATTGGACGGAGAAATTAACTTGGATTAAGCTGTGGAGAAGAAAATAGGACTACAGACTTTCTCACTCAAGTTCTGACTTAGAGGCACACCCGTACTCATGGTAGAAAGCATTAATCATGCACAAGAAAGACTGACGATATATTTATACTATTGGATAGCATATAAAACTGAGGAACTAAAAAAGTAAGCTAGACACACATTTTATTGGGAACCACAAATTTCAGTTTGTTGATCCAGCAACAGCTACTCGGCGATAGTGAAAACCTGTAGTGTTCCACTGAATGAAAGTAAAAATCAATGAGGCGCGGTTTGTCGTCATCATCATCATCATAAGTCTGATGCTGTATTAAAAGCCATCACAGAAATATGGCAGCCACAAAATGTATGTGAAAATTAAATATGAACTTGCTGTTTAAAAAAAATGGGGGCTGTAATAATAAGGAAATACCCAAAATTCTTTTACATCCACAATAATTGCATTCTTTGCTAGTAACATCCGTTTTTTACTTTTGTGATCAGTTTACTAGTTACAGTTAAGATCAGATTATGCATCCCCCTTTAGGTAACTAGTTGGAAACCTGATGAACAATTGCTAAACCAATCGAAGTCAGAAACTGTAAAGAAAATTAGTTGTAAAATTGTTACATATTTGAAGATGGCTGGAGTAATATCCGTAATAAAGTGGTTTTTGTTGAGCCATTCACACTAGTATTGAATTTATTTTCTTTATTTCTATAAATTCAGTGTTTCCAAAAAACACTGCAGCTTATTGCACATTAATAGCCAAGGATATAGTAATAGAAACAGGAAAGGAATTCAAGTGGAAAGGGAAAGCTTTTATAACAAAAAAGCATAAAAGTGAATTGATGTGGGAAAAATTCCATGAAGACAGCTCTTTTTTTCTTACAACTTGTTAGTCTGATTCAGAAGTCAAACAACAAAAATTTGTTGTTTTGACTTCTGAATTAGTATTTATTCAGCGTGTTATTGTGTCTTAACTTATTAGTCATTCTTCCAATTATCTTAATATTCTTGGCTCAAACTATTATATTAATATTTGTTATGAAGATTGTGATATTCGTTAAGAAATGAGAGGCAAGATATTTGGTCTAAAGGAATATACAGATGCTGTAAAACCACAAATAACCATCACTACAGGGAGAGAGCAGTTTGATAATTTGTTTAGAATAATTTACAAAAAATCGTATATTACAACCGAGTTGAAATAAAATTCCGGATAATGATTATTTGAGGTGCGCAGGCAGCAAAAATAAGCATAATATTCATAAATTTGCAAGGCTAGTTTGAAGGTTTAAATATAGAACTTTTGAATTGCACTTCTGAAAAAAGTTCTGTATATAAACCTTCAAAGCTAGTCCTACAAATTTATGAATATTATGCTGAGTCTTATTGCCTTAAAACTTTCTGTAATCTTAAAGATGTTATTATGATGTTGAAGGCAGAAGAGAAGCAGAACTGTCAGATTGAAATTAAGAGCAATTATTGTGACTGGCAGGTGTTGCAATGCCACAAAATGTGTCCTGTAAAGTACATGAGTGAGTTTACATAATTTGCTACCAGAATTTTCAGTAAGTTGTTCATTTTAACTGTAATATAATTTAGTTTTTAACTATGGTGTAACTTTCCTTTTAACCATAATTTCATTACATAAGCTAAATTCAAAATGACAAGAAAAGTAAAATGAATTGAATGGGAAAAAACACAAATTTGCATTACATAAAGCATGTAACACTTTTAATTATATTATTATTGATAGAAAAGTAGGTTAACCAAAAATCTAATTTGTAAACTATGTCTTAAAAGTTGACAATGTACAATGAGAACTAAATAATAACTTGGGTGTTTCGTTGAAAAACATTTTATTTAAATGTACACAGCCTAAGTAAAACATGATGATAAATCATGAGCAGTACCTGCAGACATGCTTACATTATGATAAGAGCAACTGTGCTGTTGCCATGAATAAAAACCAAACAGTGGCACAAAAAATATAAATTCAGTTCAAGAAAAATTTTTAAATTGTGTTTGAAATAATAGAATTGAAGTTCATATTTTTAACATTATGGGATAAGTATTAGACTGAAAATTGAACTATTAAACATTAAAAATAAATAAATAAAAAAGAAGGGAAAAAAAAGATATATAACACTGTGATAAAAGAATTGGGAAAAGAAAGGTGGTGGGGAAGATAAAAATCAACTGAGGCAAATTAAGAATGAATTGCAAAAAATATTGGGTTTTAACAAAAGTTTCCCGCCATTGCAAATATCATCTACGCGAACAATTCACATTGGCATGTTTAATCATATTTTGTCAAACGATTTTTCGCATTTGAAAGAGATTTGCTTTAGAACACTGTGTTGTGAAATTTGTAAAAACATATCGTTATTATTAAGTAGAAGTTGTCTAAAATGGAATTTGTGCTACCAGATTAGAATCATCATTTACTTCAGTTCTGTTGCAAAATGGTCAACAACAGAATGTCGCCTAGTCATGTGTATGGCTTTAGGTACTAATGTTGTATTGTATGACACTGTGAAGGTTTGGTAGTGCTCTGGCCTCTGATGTTGATGAGGCCTGCCTGCGAGAACTTGTGGAAAAAGATCAGAGAGCTTGCTAAACAGTTAGACGTTAGTGCCATGTCATTAGCAGCACTATGCATCGCATAAACTTGACATTCAAGTTCAATCGCTGGCGGTCACATGAGCTGACTTAAGCAGATAAGGGCAGACATGTTCAGGCCTGCACTAATCTGCTTGAATATCAACGCAAGGACAAAATTCTGACCTGGATCATCACTTGCGACGAACAGTGGATTAACAAAGGCCAAAAAAGGGGTTGGTCTGCACCTGTTGAGCCCATCGGCAGCATCACAAAGCGCAATTTGACTAACAAAAAGGTCATGTTTTGTATCTGGTGGGATTGCCATGGCATTATCCACAAGAGTATCTGGAAAAAGTTAAAACCCTCGACAATAAGGTGTAGAGCGAGATGCTAATCTGTGTTGATGCTGCTGTCCAGGAAAAAATGTCAAACTGAGTTTTGGCACAAAAAGGTAATGTTTCATCAAGATAATGCAAGACCACATGTTTCTACATTCACCGGCTGGAAGAGATTGCTGCGGCTGGAAGAGATATGGATTCAAATGAGATCTTTTGCCACACCCACAATATAGCCCCAACATTACTCCTTGAGACTTCTACTTTTTTCAGACCTGCAAGAATGCATAATGTCTGCTGTGAATCAGTGAATTAATGTTATAGTCTTGTATGACAAAAAAAATAGTGGGAGAAATTTATACGAACAGAGGCACTTTCAACAGTGTATTAGTCGGAATTAAAACTACTCAGCCTGTTCCATAACATTTAATTAGCAGGACTGTGTGTCTTGACAAATTTCCAGTCAGTTCAAAAAATGGTCATCAAGGAATGATTTTGTACTGCTAGGATTGTCAAGCAATAGTCTTGACCTAAACCCAGTTGAAAACTTTTGAAGGCAATTAAAAAAGCAATTTAGTCAAATGAAAACACAGGGAAAAAATGTGAACATAAATTAACTCTAAAAAAATTATGTAATCATATTATTAAAATGGTGAAGACAGTAGTATATAGCTTTTTGCTGGCTGCATGATATCTGCTTCAGGATTTTTGTACTTTTAACTCATTTTCTGTTTTGATTTTTGTACTTTTAACTCATTTTCTGTTTTGATTTTTGTGTATATAAATATTTATATTATATTTTGCAGGTACTTAATTCATTGGATGAGTATAAGATTGAAAATTTAAGACTGAAAGAAGAACTGGAGAGAGAAACTCTTACTTGTGCTGAGGTATTTCATTATAAACTAACTAACTATAATAGAAATTTTAAACTTATCAAGAAGTTTTATGTTGATAAAATTTTTCTAAATAACTTTTCTGACGTTATTTATTAGAGGTGGGACAAATCCTATTTTATGAAATCCAAATAAGAAAAGTTTCTTGAAACTCTGGAATCTTTCATATAAAAACTATTTTAAAAAAATTACGTAATATGATTATTCTTTTTTAAATAAAAATTTTTTTTATTTAAGAAAAGAATAAAAATTCAGTTCCAAACAAGTTTAATTCTTAGTTAGCAAGAAAGCAGTTTCACTTATATGCAGACTGCCAAAATGAATTTACTTAAAAGCAGGGGTTGGCAAATTTCTGGTAATAAACTGTCTACATCTTAATATTATTTTTTACATGAAAAAAAAAAATGAATCAAATCACTTTTTCTAATGTAACTGCTGGTAGTCGAGTTGAAAAGTTGTAAATAATGACAGCATATAGTACTACTAATGTCGAATATTTTTGTCTACAGTTGCTGTAGAACAAGTGTTGCCGATTCTCGCAACCCTTTGTTGGCAAGAAAGCAGTTTCATTTATGTGAAGACTGCCACAAATGAGTTTACTTTAAAACAGGGTCAGCAAACACTGGACAGCATATTAATATTTTTTACATTAAAAAAAATTCAAGTAAATCAAATTACATTTTATAATTTAACTCCTGAGAGTAGAGTTGAAAGTTTGTCAATAATGACTGTATGTACAGTCAAAAGTCATTAATCCGCACTCGTCGGGACTTCTGCGATTCCGGATTATCGATTTTTCCGGATTATAGATCATGCAGAAATTCTAAAATTAAAAATATGAAACCATAATTTATGAAATAAAGAACAATTATGATCTAAAGGGTATCAAAATTTACAAAAAAAAAAAAAAAAAAAAAAAAAAAAGCTTAATATTTATTTGTTTACTTTATTAAACATTTCTTTCAATGTAAGTTGTTTAAGTTGCTTCGTTTTATGTGATAATACTTTCTCTTTAATTCTATAAACAGTCATAATTTCTTGTTCAGTTACAAAGTTCCACTGTTCAAGCCCTGTAATTGCTGTGTCGAAAATACCGACTAACTTGTCAATCGAAATTTTTTTTGTTTTCAATAATGTTTTCTGTTACTTTCTTCACTATCGGAAGCGCGAATGTGTAAACTCTTTACTTTATGCGCATGCGTAGTGGACGTGCGCATCAAACGCGCATGCATAAACGCTTTACGCACATGCACAAGTTTGTGACTTTGATGTCCGGATTATAGATCACTCCGGATAATGGACGTTAATGGACTCCGGATAATGGACAGACTTTGTACTGTATTCAGAAGTTGCTAAAAGTGAACTATCACTAAAATTTAAAGTTTAAAACAGTGTTTCATCACAGTACAATTAATTCAGAAAACTAAAAAATTATAATAAAGCAGTAAGTCAAATTTAGAATAGCTCATTAGCTATGAATCACGGAAATCACTAATGAAGTGGGGAATTGATTTAATCATAATGTTTGCTTGTGGTAGCAGAAAAAATGTGCTCGGAGAAAATAGATTTGTTTTGATCTATCGGTCTTTTAGCGAGGACAATTGTTAGAAGTGTTAAAGAAGTTGTGAACCACATCAAAAGTAATTTAAATGTCAAGGCAAAAATATTCTAGTGCTTTTCGTTGATTGTTAACAGATATTGCAGATACTGACCAATTGCTGCTGTTTATTCGAATGGTCAGTACTGAATTTGATATGACTGAAGAATTAATATCTATCAATAGTGTAAACTAAAGGTGAAATTTTCAAAGGAATCTGTTTAAATGTGTTAAAACTGGTAGTGGTAGTAATATGTGTGGAACGGGGAAAGTATCAAGTTTCATGGATTTTTATGGCCTGCAAAGAAACTAAATGCTCAAAACCGTTGATAACTCATTGTATTATTCAACAGCAGGTAGTCTGTGTCAAATACCTTAATGTGTCATGTTACTGAACCAGCTTTGTGTCGACGTTTCATTTTATGTGGGGCCCACCAGCGGCCGAGCGGTTAATTCGCTGAACACTGGTAGTTCGGTCCAAGGTTCGAATCCCACAAACGGGCTGCCTGCATAGGCATTTTCAGGGTTTTCCCCATGTGTAACGTGTATACAAGCCAGTTTCCCTTAGAGAGTCCTCCATGAAGGCATCCCTCCCCTTAGGCAGATAGCCCTCGAGGCTTTGCCATAATCACACACACACATTTTATGTGCTCTCAGGAACTTAACTGTGATCAGGATCATGTTCCCCTTCCCCAATTATAGATCAAAATTGAATATCCTGACTTGCACAACCATGCAACAGTTTGATGAATGGGTAAACAATGGAAAGTTTTATTGTCATTTTTTTAATTCAGAGAATTAATGTAATTTTTTCTTAGAGAGAAATTGCCCATAACCATTATTATTGAATTATGAAGGACTATGGAAATGGGCATTTGCTGCAGACAATGTGGGATATCTTAATGAATTTATGTTAAAATTACAGGAAAAACAGTGCTTGTATGTAAAATGTATGTATAATATTGCTGAAAATTTGCGTTGTTTTAATCACAAATCCCATTGAACAAGTTTGATTATTTTCTATGCTGTAAAAAATTTCACATACACTGGCTATCATTAATTAAGGAAAAATCACATAAATGGCAATTTCTCAAAAAGTTAACATGTAGAATATAATGAAACTGACCCACAGTATACAACACATAGTAAGATATAAAATAACATGCAAAGAAATTATTAGAGAACTATGGTGTTATAGAATTAGCTTAAGTATAAAATGAACAAATTGGATGTGTCAGTTTGGTATAGGAAAACTACCTTCAATATGGAGTATGATGCCCTGTAGAAGCAATATACAACACATACAGCGATATACTACACTGTCAACTATGCAATCTATCAGTTCTGTAAGAAGTGAGAGCCATTGCTCTTGAAAAGCAGTTGCAAGCATAGCAAAGGTCTGAAGAGGGGAATTGAGAGCAGCTGTATGTCATCCCAAATATGCTCGATAGATTCAGGTCTGGTGATTAAACTGGCTCTCCATGCGCTGAATTGTTTACTGCTGAAGACAATTATCCACAATGTGAGCCTTGTGCAATCTAGTGTTGTCCTATAGCAAGAAATTATCACTTATTGATTGACCCAGCTTAAAAGCACACATAAGCATCAAGGTTGGCATCTCTATAGGCCTGAGTGTTCATGGTTCTATGTGGTAAGACAGGGAGGTCTGTGCATCCACCCAAAGAGATACCACCCCAAACACAATCAGTGCATTTTGTCCATCTCTCTTTTTTTTTTTTTTTTTTTTTTTTTTTTTTTTTTTTTTTTTTTTATGTTTGAGGGATGGTAATGGGTTTCAGGTTCTCTCCAAATCAAATAGCGCCTGCTATTGCCTTGAGGCTAAACCTGGACTCACCCGAAAAGAGAATAGCCCTCCATTCATCAGCTGTCCAGTGGACATGATAGACTCACCTCAAGCGTTCTCTTCTATGATATGACACGAGCGGCACACAAATGGCTGGTCACTTTGTGTACAGATCTCTTTTGCGAAGCCTTCTATACACAGCTGACTTTGACACCTACTATCCATTGGCTGCAGCATGGGAGAATCTGAGTTGAGTTGGAGTAGAGATTCTATTCCTTCATGCTCATAACAACAAATAACGGTCATCAGTGCTTGTTGTAGCTTAGGCTGTCCTTGGCTGAAACTCCTGGACGTCGAATCTGTGGTTAAAAATTGTTGCCGAAGTTTATGAACCACAGAGCTACTCACATTTAGCTGTCTGGCCACTTCTTCGTCCTGCCTTTAGTATTCCCAATAGCTCTCCATCACAATTCTTTGGGGAGGTCATTGTAATAAATTGACTATCCCAGATTGCTTATCTCAGTATTACAGAAAAATTTGTAGGTTTACTCTGAAGCATGCAATTTTATGCTGCTCTAAGATGACATATTTCGATTGCAGTACCACTAATTTGCATGCTGCAATTTTATCCAGCAATTCTTATTTGATAGCATATTAAAATTTTATATGGATTGGCTTATTTTTGAATGTTTGAATGAATTATCCTAAGTACTTTTGTGATTTTTCCTTAATTTTTGGAAACCAGTGTATTATCAAAATCTCCACTCCCCCCAAAATTCACAGTGGATATATTTTCTGAACTTGAATTACAGTTAAACAGAATTTTTTAAATTTTGATACATTTTCATATTTCAAAACCAGTTTGACTGTACAATTGCAGAACTTTTGTCAGAGCTTCAGTTGAAAGTGTTTGATCTGCAAAATGATGATGTTTAAAGAAATTGATCTAATCAAATCTATTAATATCTGTTGGAAGATATTCTATAAATGTCTTTCGGAAGATAAATTAGATCATTTAAAATTATGTGTGCTGGAGTTTATATTTGTATTTGGGTGTACATTAAAAGCTTGGGAAATGTTGAATTCCAGACATGTTAAAATTCCGGATTATTGAGCATATAAGAAATGTCAAAAAAGACAAGTGTGGGAAGTTTTTGCTTTAAAATTTTAAAAAAGTTATGTTATTTATTACTAACTTGAATAATAAAAACCAACATTTAAAATAAACGTTTTATGATTATGTTGTAACATTTTGCGTATCCATTATTGGTGCTAAATCACATGGTTTGGCTATCTAAAAAATGAAATTCATGTCAAAAAAGACAAATCAGAGTGGAAAGTTTCCATTCTAAAATTATGAAAAAGTCGTCTTATTTGTTACCAACTTGAATAATAAAAACCTACATTTAAAATCGTCTTTTCAAGAATTAATCAAATTTACATTAAACCGCAATAAACTTTTTATGATTGTGTTGTAACGTTGTGCTTATGCATTATTGGTGCTAAATCACATGGTTGGCTATTTTTCTTCAGAGTTTAATTTATTAGTTTAAGCATGCACTTTCCCTTATCCCCATTGTTTAAAGTAGAAAGATTTAAAAAAATAGTACTAATTATCTAAATGCATTTTATTAGTTGAAATACAATACAAAGTTCAAGATCCAGAATCATTAGCAATTCCGAATTGCGGAAATTTCTCAGTGTAAATCTAATGAGATCACATGTAGACATGGCAACATTTCAGCTCCACTTATTGTTTGATCAGACTGAAGAATGGGCAGCAGAATTCAAAAGTAGGAAACAATTATATAATTTAGAAGAACAACCAGCAGCAAAAATTAGGGATGACAATATTTTTAGAACTTAGGACAGAAACTGGACAAAAAAGTTTTTAGATTTTAGGGAGATAATAGCAGAATTTAGGATTTGCAGATATTGCATCAGGCAGCAAATGCATAGCTCCTCGCACGGACAACCACTCGAGCTGAAAGTGTGTTCCTGGCCAACATAAATATAACACAGTCGATGCATTATCATTGTCTACAGTGTGACTTCCATTTTGGTGCTTGAAAATTATATGCAGGAATCTCACTTAGGAGAAAAATCACATTTATGGCATACCTGTTTCTTTTTGTTGAGTATTATGCATTCCTAAATTTTGTGAGGGGGCAGGAATTTATTATTTCATTTTATTTATATTTTGGCTAATAAACCAAGATCCAGAGATCATTTCGTATATGTCTTTATTTTGTGGATGTCTTTATTTTGATTTAATACTGTGTATATTTTTCTATATAACACATGAAACGTAGTTTTGATGCTATAACGTAAGTATTTAATCCTGAGGCTCTAAGGCAAGTAAGAAGGAGATCCTTTATAATGATCAGCCACCCTTCATATGTGTAAAATTTATCAATTGAAGTTGTGTTGATTTGCAAAGTAGTCTTCATTTACTTTGTGATATCAGCCAGAAATAAAGTTATAATAATTTGTCCTATCTGTTAACTTTCAAAATTGTTTGGTTCTTAAACAAAATTTCGTCTTGTGGCAAATAAAATTTTATTTTCATTCTGAAGTACTTATCCTAGTATTTAATATTGCTGAATACAGACAAAAATAGTCTCTTGAAAGTAACAAAAGGAAAAAAAAAAAAAAAATGAAAAGCTACTGAAACAACCTAGCAAAAATAACATCTACCGGATAGGTCCATGCACTGCAATTTAGAAGGGATAGGCTCTAATTCCATTGTATAAAAAGAAGTGTAATAAAAAAAAGGATGTAAAATTTAATGAATAAGTCAAGTTCTGAAAGTTTGGAAATGAAAAAAAAATTGAAGTGTTGTGACTGAAAATGATCATACAGGGCATGATCATTTTCAATCACAGCAATTTAGTTCTTTTTTTTCTTCCAAGTTTCCATTCAGTGTGTATATGTGTAGTTGTGTGCAGTGGGTTAAGAATGCAGTTTGTGTAAATACATCTTTATTAATTAAGAAGATGCAAATGAAATTCAGTATCTTGAATCTTGAGATTCATTTTCTCAACATAGTTTTGGGTAGGACAGTTTTTGAGTAATAATTCAAACTTGTGATTGTCTGCCAGAAACTTAAATCAAAACAATTGTTGGATAAAGAGGATTATTTCAAAATTAGCCCAGTTTAACACCTAAGATGAAATGCTAAATTCTCTCCATAAACCATTAAGAAAAATCACTTTTTTAAGAGTTTTTAAAAGTATATTTATTGTATGATTTTTATAAAAGCGTATTTACAATATTATTGCCTTTAGGTGATATTAATGATTCAAAGACCGTTGGTATTGAAACAGTCATTTTCTTTTTTTAATGGATATTTTTATTGGACTTGAATAGAACTAATCTTTCCAAAATTTTTCAAACATTTCAAAAAAAAAAAAAAAAAAAAAAACATTAGGATTGAAAATAACAAAAAGGCATGGACATTCCAGTTTTCAAATTTTGTATCTTTTTCAAGATCTGAGAGTTTGAATGTTTCATCATTATTATAGTATTAAATTTTGAAGTTTTACTTAAATGCAGTAAATTTATATGATTACAATTTGTATTTTTGTTTCTTTAAAATGTTAAGAGCTTATTAATGTAAAACAGATTTTCAGTGTTTTAGGTGTTTATACTTCTGAAGAAGCCTTTATTTTTCTGTATAACAGTGTTAATTTCCTCTTTTTGTAAGACATTTTATATTGTAAAGTTTCACAATAACTTCCCCAAATATTGATCTTGTTTATAAACTTTTATTAAAACAAATCTTGAATTCATTTATATATAGCATGATAGTAATTTGATTTTATATAATTTTATTACTAGACTTGAATTTTGATATAAATGTAATGGTATTTTTCTTTTTGTAGCTTAAACAATTATCTAATGAAAAGGACTATGAAATTACTGCTTTAAAATTAATGCTGGATTACACATCAAAACAAATGGTACTAGTTTTTTTTTTTCATTATTTCAGTTTGTATTACTTAATCAGTAAAAATTATGACTGCATTGAAAATTATTGGTACTTGTTGGTTTTACCAGTGATTAATTGCCAAATTTAGCAATATTTATTACAAACCATATAGTTAACCACAACGAAAACCTTATAATAAGAATTGTGAAATCATTTTTTTCTTCATAAAATCTCTCTCTCTCTCTCTCTCTCTTTTTTTTTTTTTTTTTTTAATAGGCTCAGAATGGTGATAATTTTCAATTTACCATCAAGTGAAAAAAACAAACAAACAAAAAAAAAAAAAAAAAAAACACTATTTTATTTTTACTAGAGAGAGGTGTTTTGCACTCCACCTGAATTTACAAAAATGGACATGAAATTGAGTTATATACTATTAAAGTTATATAGAGACATAGTGTGAAAAACTACCAGGAAAAAAAAAAAAAAAAAAAAATTGGACAGCTGGTTCACTATTTTAAAAATCACATTGCTGATAATGGTAAGTTAATGTTGGTTTATGGTTGCTTGAAAAGTAAATAGTAGAAAAAAAGGTATTTTTTGGTCACTGGTAAAGCCAACAAACATTAAATTATTTTTTCTTGTTAATGTAAGCCTTAAGTTCTTAGCTGTATTAATATTTCCAAGGAATGAGTTACTGTCAAATGTTAAAAAATTGTTTCTGTTTTAATGAATTTAAAAATTTATTATTTATACTTTATTGTATGGTCATAAATAAAAAAACTGCATCTGCTGCTTTTTTACAATGATGAGTGTACCAAAAGAGTTGATAAAAGGTGGCCACCGAAACTTAATCAGTATTGACTGTTAATACTTGTACAGGCTGACTAAGGTAATAGTGCAGTGCTTCACATCCAGGCTATGTGAAGTAGTCATATCCAGCCTATATTAGCCCTATGGACTGTTCATAAGTAGACATTGTAATGTGCATTGCAGACGCTGTGATCCAAAAGCCTATGCTATACATGTTGTTTCAAAATATTCTAAGACCTATAAATCAACATCAATCACTTTAAAATGTAAGTTTTAATATGTACAATATTTACAGATCATTAATCAAATATGGTGGTTCAGTTGACAAACAAATCTATATGCTTTCATAATCGAAATCCTTTAAATAGGAACCGAAGTGTTCCTAATCAAATAGTGTGCGAAGCATCAGACATCCATCTAGCGAACTGCCGGTGGAGAGCCTATGGAAATTCAGAAGGCACGTCGTGTTAACACGCAACGCTAGCGCCATCTATCAATTAATCAAAATAATTTCCACACACTCCCCACCTGAACTCTGTCAAGAGTTCACATTAATCTAACAACAATCAAATTTATATCAATAAGTATTTTAACATATAATTATGAAACAATTGATAAGTATATTAAATGAATAGAAAATATATTCAAATTATAATCACTATACTAAATTCTAAAAAAGGTATGTTATCAAATATAATTTGACACAGTAAATTTAAACTATTCTTAATCTAATCATATGAAATTAAATTAACAAAATAAACAATTGCATAAAAACATATTCAATCTTATTCATATTATTAAACAATAAAAAATATTTTTAAAGTTCTAAAGGATATAATAATTGAACTGGTCGCTTTATTATTGTTCCATCAGCAGTTCACAAGAACGAACTTTGTTATCACGACCACGGAAAACGTTTATCACGACCACGGAAAACGTTTATCACTCTACCACAATTCCACAAAAGTTTGCACTTATTGTTGCCTTCAATTAATACAAGATCATCAACTTTTAGATCATCATAAACATTAGGATTTTTTAATTGATGAGCTTTTCGAAGATCCATCAAATAAAGATGGTTAAAGAGAAGGAAATCGATATAAACTAGCCAAAATGTTTGAGAAGGCTAAAAATTAAAAAGATGCATATTTTGTAGAGTGTTGTTGTTACCAAACATAAATGTTTCATAACAACATTAAAAGCTACAAACAAAACATTTATGTTTTGTAGCTTTTAATGTGTAATTATCCTAATATCATTTAAGAATCAATATCATAAATTACATGTATTTTAAACTGTGAAATTTTAATAGTGGCCATGTAAATCCATAATGGCTAGGGTTATCTAACTACATAATTCAATTATTTGTAACTAGCTGCTTAGCCTTAAAATTATCATTACATATTAAAACGAGTTATTACATTTCATTAATACTCATTGTGGTCACACGATAAAGCACAAAAAGGTAAAAATTCAAGTAAAACTTAAAGAATAAGTTTGTAAACTTATAAGAAGTTGCAGACTTTTAAAGAATAAGATGCAAAGAGCATCTAGTGTAACTTAAAGTAATACAAAACAACTTATCACCTCTGGTGCTGTATAATAGCTTATTTTAACCATAAAGTATATTAACTGGGTTACTACCCCTGGAACTCTACATGAAGCCACGACACTAACTGCATCAAACAGAGTCTGATTTTTCAACACTTGCCCAACCGTACCTACATCAGCCTTTCAGGTTTGTTCTAATCAGCAGATCTCTCTAGACAAGCTGTAGTGGTGAAAACATTCAGTCTTTTGTTATAAATCATGCTGATTATGTATGATCTTATGTCTCATTTTAACCTATGCCGTTTGATATAAAATCTACCTGCTATTTACTAAGCTTCTAGACTGACCAAGTATGTGACAAAATGAGACATTAAAAAAATCAACATAAAGCTGTTAGTGAAACGTAAATGTCACTTATTTTCTTTCAAATATGTCCAATTATTATAAGTGTAAAATATTTAATGCTACTTGATAAATTGCATAAAGTTTATTTTATTCTCAAACGTATTAACAATTATGTTAATTAATTCCTAGTTAGTAATAATGTATACTACTTAGGAATCTATTTTATTTTTGGGATGGTATTGCAAAAAAGAAATTGAGGCAAAGATAATATTTTTAATTGAATTTATCATGTCCCAGTTACTCATAGGTCCTTCAATTTTTTATTAATAATACTTAAAAGTACTTAATTCCCGTGTGCAGAAATGTGTACGAACCCTATAATACAGTGAGCAGGAGGGGAAAAATATGCTTTGTAATAATATTACTATTGAAAAGTTTAAAACTGGCAAAAATTCAATTTTAGATTAGTGTAGATTTTGAATAAAACTATTATTTAAGGAGTAATTGGACACAAATCTTAATATTGAGTTTTTGCTTGATTTTAAATTTTAGGTTCGCTTGTTTCTTTTCCAGTTAGGTTTCTCTTAAGGGATTAATGCCTCCCACGTGTTTCCCCCCCTCTCTCTCTATGTATATATCTTTTTTGGGGGGAGGATTGTGTGTGTTTCTTAAACATTTCTTGCATATATTTTACTGTTTAAAATATTTGCTTTTAGTTTAGATGGCAGAAAAATAGAAAATTTGTTGAAACTTTATTCATAAGTTTAAATTTTTTGGGAAATGTTCTGATTTTCTTCAATAGTAGTGTCTGTTTTATTGATTGAATAGGATGGTAAAAGACTGGGTATTATAGTATTTATCATTAATAATTTATGTTATCACTGTGGAACAAGCCAAGATGACTGCAAGTCAGTCAGTCTTCTTGAAGAATATTATAATGTATTATCTAATACTAGTGCAGAGTTGCCAACTCTCCCGATTTTCGACCGCTCTCCTGCCAACCCGATTTACAATATATTTCTCCCGACTTTTTCTTATTCTTAAAATTTCTCACGATTTTTATGGAACTTCGCTTAATACTTGGTTATATGAACAAAAAATTTTTGAACAGATTTCCTGTGTTACTTCATTTAGTCATGGAACATGATATTGATGTTGCCACTGATAATATTGCAGTCGTAATTTTGCAGTTTACAATTAGAAAACTTGGATGAAGTTATAAAATCAGCTAGGATTGACACCTAAAGGAGTTTAATTGGAAAACTGAAAGGAGCTGATGGAATTTTAAAATATAAAGAAACTGTCTAGAATTATGTTGGCCATCTTGACAGTTCCCCATAGTAATGCAGAGTGTGAGAGGATTTTCAGTATTGCGAAAACGAGGACTAAATTTAGATCTAATATTAGTGATGACACATTAGAAAAACTTTTATTAGCGAAAGCAGGCCTACATGGCAATTGCTATGAACAAAACTATCAAGTTTCTTTCTTAACGAAAGTAAAATCTGCCACTGTTCATAACATTTGTACAAAAACTGATTAAAGTGTCTTTTTTTTTTTTTTTTTTTTTTTTTTTTTACGATGCAAATAATATAAAAATGTTTTTTATATGTAAGGTATTTTTGTGTTGCTTGCATTTAAGAATTAGTAACTATTTAAAGTTAATTCATTATTAAAAACTATATTTTTATCATTTAAAAAGTCTTTTTAACATTGTGAAAAATCTGATTTCTTAAAAAAATCTCCTGATTTTTGAGTGTCATTGGTTGGCAAGTATGCAAGTGTTTATGCATACTTTTTAGAAATACAAGTCATTTTTAGAACTGACCAACATTTGAGAGTTTTAGTATATACAGTCAAAAGTCTAATCCAGACTCGTCGGGACTTCGGCAATTCCAGATTATAGATCATCGGTTTAAATCTGTTAAGATGGCATGCAGAAATTATAAAATTCAAAATATGAAACCGTAATTTATGAAATAAAGAGAAATTATGATCTAAAGGGTATCAAAATTTACAACCCCCCCCCCAAAAAAAACTTAATATTTATTTGTTTACTTTATTAAACAGTTCTTTCAACGTGCACATGCGTCGAAATTAGAAAATTGCAACCAGAAACTATTTGATGTGTATTTGTGATATTTATAATGACGAGGAATTTGATTTAAATCATATCAAAGACGGAGTACATCGAGATGAAATACTACATTTAGTAAGGAATTATAAGCCGAATAAAATAAAAACATCTGCCCTTGAAGATAAGGATAGTGCTGACAGATCAACTTCCAGTTCATTGCGTGCCGCAATGTCCCCCCCCCTCCCCGCAGAGCAGCGTTAAATTGGTAAACAGATTTCAGAATGGTTAGAGAAACAAAGGATATGCCTTTATCCATTTTTTGCAGCAATTCCACTTTTTGTTTGATGGACATCGAAACATGCTTTCACTTTGTAGATCCTTTGGCAGCCGGAAATTCTTTTTGACATAGTCAAAAGTTCAAGCTTACCTTTATAAAATTGTTCTAACAGTCTGCAAAAAATAATAAGCCAAATCCAATTAGAAGATTAAGGAACAATGCAATCTGCAACATTAACTGAACTAGATAAGTAGATAATTTTAGCTTAGCTTATACCGTCCATTATACATTAAACGCGCATGCATAAACGCATAATGCGTTTACGTATGCACAGAAAGTTTGTAGCTTTGAGGTCCAGTTTATAGATCATTCCGTATTATGGATGTCCAGATTGAAGACTTTTGACTGTATGTGTTTGTATATATACACATACTATATATACATACCCATATTGTGAACATGCAGATCGTATGTTTGTGGACTTAATATAATTAATTACTGCAGGCAGCAGAAAGAAATTGACAGTTTATTGTAATTAACTGTATGCAACTAGCAGATGTAAATATCTTAAGAAAATGTAGAAATTATGCAGAAGTACATACTAAAATTGTTACCTAAAATATAACAAATTATAATGATACAAAAAAATAATAATGCAATCAAATGTATTGAAATAGTTACAGAAATTTACATTTAGTATATTTGTAATTCAGCCTTTTTTTTAAATTTAAAATATGTGCAATTAGAAATGCTCATTATCACAATAATACATACTCACTTTTGGTTAATTCCCAATACTAATAATAAAAGTATTTTTCTAGCTGCTGAGAAATGTTGTTAAACTTATTTTATACTTTGTATGTTTTTTCAGAAAAGTGATTTTGAAAAAGAAGTGGCAGGAAAAGAAGCCTTAATTAAAAAGGTAGTAAATAATACTCAAAGATAAAGCTATTAATATTAGTTATTGATATAATCATATTTTAAATTAAAAGTATATAACAGCTTTATTGAAGTCTGTTTAATTTTTGTTATAATTTCTGTAATCTTTATTTTAATGTGCTCTCTTTAATGTGTAGAATTCTGCATTATTTCAATTACATATGAAATAGTGTCAATATTAGGGCAAAACATAGTCGAGAGAAAGAGATAAAATGACAGAGAAATTATTTGAGGAAAAAAATCTATTTTTGAAAAGTTTTAAAAATATTTCATTATTATTTTTTACATGCAAAATTACTTAAAAACAATTTTTTTCCCCTTTAAACAGAAACAAAAACAAATTTATTATTTACAAACAATCTGAGGCAAGTTGGATTTTCCTAAAATTAATCCTTATGCATATATTGTAGTTATGTTCTTTGCATGTGCAATTGAATACATAACATACTTAGCATTTTATATAAAGGGTTAGGACTGAAAGTTTGAATTTATTTTTAAAAAATGGTCTCTTTTCAGCCCTCTTTTCTTTGTTTTGTCATTTTTTTACACAAGGAAAATTTCTTCAGCTGTTACTTTTAGGAATTTATGCCTATAAACTGGTGGTCCAATACTTCTTTTTGGCACATTTGTCAACTTTGGCGAGCATTTACAATGTCATTGCCAGCTTTCGAGAGAAACATTTGTTTGACCATCTTTGAGTCTATTTCAGTGATGCATCAAGCGCAACCTACATTTTTTTATACCCCCCTTTTTTTGCCATGTACACAGCTGTATTGTGCTGTATTGTGTGCTTTTTTTCTGCTTAAAAAAATAAGAGAATTGTTTAAACGTGGCATCACATACATTTCTGATACCAGAATCATAAAATGAGAAGAAAAAAGTGAGCCACATTAAGCTTCATGCATGCAGAAAGCTATATAGTCCACTGCTGTTGGCAGCATCAGTGTGTTGTCACATAAATATTTTTTGTTTTTGGCTACATCATGCGTTGCCTCATAAATACTTTTTTGTAGTACAGATAATCACAAAGTTCCTAAATTTCTTATATATGTTAATCATACAAATTAAAAATGCATTGTTACTTTTATATTAAAAAAGTTTATTTGCACCTGTTTCTGAAATTTTTGTGAATCAAAATTTGTTTTTATTTACATCCAAAAATTAGGACAATTTATTGAAATTCTCTTACTTCATTGGCATTTAAATTTGTATTATCCTATAAAATCTGCCCTTCTCTCCTGCAGGTAATAAGTCTGTTATTATTAATGATGAAAAAAGTCTCCTCTCTCGTTTTTCCTTTTAAATGGTTATGAATGTAAAGAAGACTTTAAAAGAGAAATTAACCGAGAAAAATAGTATGATAGATGTGCTATTAATTCTTAGATTGCTAACCCATTTTAATGTTTTAAATAATTTAAAATATGAGTCATGGAAATAGAATCATGTTTTATCTTATTATTTTTATAGCTGAGCATGGAAAATTCTCAGCTACAAGGTATGAGAAATCAGTCTGAAGACTTAAGTGAGGTGCGTATAAGTTTGTTTTTTATTCGGGCGGGGGGGGGGTAATCAAAGTTTAAAATTTTATATACATAAAAGTGTTCTAAGAGTCTTACATAATTGGTGCAGTTTTTAAACTCTACAAATTTTGAAATATTGTTAAAAAATATAAGATTTTGTCATATAGTTATAAATTTAAAATTCATGTTAATTTCAGAAGTTTAAAATTTGTGCTTTTCTGATATAATTTAGAAAAGTTATTTTAATATTTCTTCTTAAATTAATAGGAACTGTAAATGCAATTTGCATAATATATAAAACTAATGAGACTGCTAAAGTTTTTAATATATGTCATGTTATATATTTGATAGTTGTATTAATAAGTCTACCAAAAATATTGAAGAATAGATATCGGAAGAAGAGATTGATGAAGCAGATTTGATAGAAATGAAATCTGTGATAAACAGATCAATTCAGAGACAATAAATAATGCAGATGGAAATGATTATACAATTGCCTAAACAGCATAAATAAAAGCCTAGACTTAGTTGAACCACTAGTGCGATATTTTCTAAATGAAGATCTTTCTGCTGAAAGTATAAAATTTTAGAGACCTGCACAAAACATTTATGTCAAGATGCTGTTGAAGGAAATTTCGAAGATATTGGGAACTTGCTTTAACCCCTTGAAATACAAATACAATTGCCTAAACAGCATAAATAAAAGCCTAGACTTAGTTGAACCACTAGTGCGATATTTTCTAAATGAAGATCTTTCTGCTGAAAGTATAAAATTTTAGAGACCTGCACAAAACATTTATCTCAAGATGCTGTTGAAGGAAATTTCGAAGATATTGGGAACTTGCTTTAACCCCTTGAAATACAAATACAATTGCCTAAACAGCATAAATAAAAGCCTAGACTTAGTTGAACCACTAGTGCGATATTTTCTAAATGAAGATCTTTCTGCTGAAAGTATAAAATTTTAGAGACCTGCACAAAACATTTATCTCAAGATGCTGTTGAAGGAAATTTCAAAGATATTGGGAACTTGCTTTAACCCCTTGAAATACAAATACAATTGCCTAAACAGCATAAATAAAAGCCTAGACTTAGTTGAACCACTAGTGCAATATTTTCTAAATGAAGATCCTTCTGCTGAAAGTATAAAATTTTAGAGACCTGCACAAAACATTTATCTCAAGATGCTGTGGAAGGAAATTTGGAAGATGAGGCTATTTTACCAAAAGAAAATTGCTTTTTCTAATAGCAGTTAGTAACGATGAGGAAAACCTTTTGATCAGTTATTGATGTAGTAAATATATTTAACAAACTTCATAAAGCGTATTGGGAACTTGCTTTGACCCCTTGAGATACAAATAAAATGTGCAACGACGTGTCCAAAGAATACTATTTAATTTGGCTCAACTGTGGACACTCATTTACAAGCTTTTAAAAAAGGAGGTTTTATTTTCAAGTTTACATTGCTATATAACATTTAATAAAGCTGATATATAATGCTAATGTGCAATAGTTAAGCAGATTTGCCAACTCTCGAGATTTATGACTATTCTCCCGTCAACCCAATTTTCAATAGATTTCTCCCGACTTTTTCTTATTCTTAAAATTTCTCACAATTTTTATATATCTTGGCTTAATACTTCGTTCTTTGTGCCAAAAAAAAGTTGTTCTGGGCATCACTTTGTTTTTCTGTCGATTACATCTAAAAGAAAACCGAACCCGTTTCAACAGTGAGAAATTATGCCACGCTTCTGCTTTGTGAGTGAGAGCATATGTGTTCGAAAATTTTGTGTTCCAGTTCTCCAAGCAGCATCGAGCACCAATGCGTATCATCTGGCATATATTAACCATTGAACACAAACTAAGATCAGGGCTGTTATTTTTGTTCATCTTGTCATTGACCGGTGTGAGTGCACTTGCTTTCGAGAAATAGTTTAACCTTTTGAAGACGGGATGGCCATTATAGTGGCCATAGATTCCTCTTTGAAAAGACGGGGTTGTCCACTTTCGTGGCCATGTCTTTTTCCCCCATCGTCCAGGCTGAAAAGTGGGGTGAAATGTCAAATTTGACGTCCCTAGGGTTTTAACCACTTATCTCTTTCAAAGGTCTTTCTTTTGCGACATAGATGCACCCCTCTGAGAATCCATTAAACTACACACAAGAATCTTCATTGCAAATAGGAGGTGATTTCTTAAAGGGAGGAAAGCATTCGGTTCAAAATTCCCCGTCCTTTGGTAGCAGTCTATTATTTCTTCTTGGAAATAATAGACATTTGTGATGTGGACTGTGTCATTGCAATTTTTTATTTCGCATGTTGGAAGAACCGATGCAGGGTTCGTAGCGGTCCTTACAAGTGCTTATAAGTCCTTATATTTGAAAATAAAATATAAAGCCCTTATAGGTGTTTGCATTTTCTTTAAAGCCTTTTTTTTTTTATTTTTATTTTATTTATTTTTTTTTTTTTTGTTTTGTTTTTAGTGCTTTTTTTTTTGCTTTTAGTACTTTTTTTAATTTCTTTCTTTTTTTTTTTTTTAATGAACGCGCATTTTTTCCCTGTACCAAAGCCGAAGCTAAGTAAACCACTTTTCTTCCTTATATGCAACGTTAGATGGTGAAACATACTCCCGAAATTGCTTTTCCCCCTTTTCTCTGCATTAACGTAACCTATGGTGCACGTCATTCTATTGGTCAAAGAATTACGAAAACGGTAGAAAATTCCGATACATTCGGTAATATTTTCCTCCCACCCAAATATTACACACGTTTGAATTTCTATCAAGATTTGCATTCTCGTTCAGCATGGTCAGTTCATATTCGTGTTTGTTATGATCGTTATGCTTATATTATGAGCATATATGCATGAATATTTATAATAATATAGTTGCAGTAACTGGTGAAGTATAGATAAACTTCCAAAAAATGGGTGTGTTTTTACACAGATTAGCTTTCTAAGGAATAATATTCGAATGGCTTAAATAAAAGGAAAGTAATCGAATAGTCAAAATAATTTCATTTTTTTTCCCTGCCAATACATTATACAGTACGGAGGTTGGGAGGTTCTCCCCTTTCTCCACAAATCTCTAATATTGAAGGAGCAGACTCCTTTTTTTTTTTTTTTTTTTTTGTCACTGTCCAATCTGGATTGAATAGGACTAAAAGTTTTTGCGCTCTACTCAACCCAAGCGAAGATTGATTCTATTCCGGAAATTTAACGCAGTCTGTTGAAAATTAGAATCAGAAACACCCCAGATTAGTAAGTCTCTTTTCCTTTATTTAGTTCTTTATTCTCTGAATACCGGCAACTGTTGATTCCGATTGCGTAATATCGCATATGGAAGGATTACACTGCATGTATTGCACAATAACGTTTGCGTTATTTTGTAGAGATAATTAATTTTGGTGTTCAGTCTGAAATTTGTTTATGAACATTTAAAAGAGTTTTACAGTGCTTTCTAAGCAGAATATTTCTCAGTTCCGTTGGTCTATTTTTATATGATGCACATATCGAAATGTCAAAATCATTTATTTAGCCAAGAAATCTAAAGAACGGCTACTATCTCCCCCACTCCTCTTTTTTCAGTTACTATCCGGAAAATTCGGCAATTTCCGAGTATGCGGATTAGTTAAGCTTTTACTGTTAAAAAGGATGACTGCATGAAGCAATTTTCCGTCTTCTGATTTCAGAAATGTGCCTCTTTTTTACTTAAATTACTTTGCTTGGAATATATGTTAAGGGAAAACTATTGTGCAATGAAAATTTAGAAAATGTTCAGAATTTTGATTTAAGTTAAATTATTTAAATATTAACATGACTGGAAAAATAAATTGTATTTATTTTTATGTGCCAAAGGAATAATATTAATATGGCTTATTATTATTTTTTCTGTATTTTGAACTGAATTTCATCATTAAATATTGTAATATAGTTTAGTTCTGCATAGTTTTTTTTTCTCTCATTGTAAATTAATTCTGTAAATTGAACTGTCATTTAAAATTTTTAAAAAAGTTAATTGTGTTCCATGGTTGAGGTAATGCTCATTCTCTTAATAAATATTGCTGCAAAAAATAGATAGAGGCATATCCTTTGTTTCTCTAACCATTCCGAAATCTGTTTATCAATTTCATGCTGCTTTGCGGGAGGGGGAGGGACGCCACGGCACGCAGTGAATTGGAAGTTGATCTGTCAGCACTATCCTTATCTTCAGGGCAGATGTTTTTATTTTATTTGGCTTAGAATTCCTTACTAAATGTAGTATTTCATCTCAATGTACTCCGTCTTTGATATGATTTAAATCAAATTCGTCGTCATTATAATTTGCTTCCGATAGTGAAGAAAGTGACACAGAGGTTATTGAAAACAAAAAATTTCGATTGACAAATTAGTCGGTATTCTCGACACAGCAATTATAGGACTTGAACAACGGAACTTTGTAACTGAACAAGAAATTATGTCTGTTTATAGAATTAAAGAGAAAGTATTACCACATAAAACGAAACAACTTAAACAACTTACATTGAAAGAAATGTTTAATAAAGTAAACAAATAAATATTAAGCTTTTTTTTTTTTTTTTTTTTTTTTTTTTTTTTTGGTAAGTTTTGATACCCTATATATTATAATTGTTCTTTATTTCATAAATTACGGTTTCATATTTTTAATTTTTTAATTTTTGCATGCCATCTTACCAGATTTAAACTGATGATCTATAATCCGGAAAAATCGATACTCTGGAGTCCCGTCGAGTCCGGATTAACGGCTTTTGACTGTAGTTCTTTAAAGCATGATACATCTCAAAATATTTTGGAATATGTAGTGGAACTAGACATGTTTTATACTACCAAGTTGTTCATTTCTTATATTATGCACACATGGCATCTCTTTGAAGGATGTTGCTTTTTATCCTTCATAGGTATATGTTCAGGAAAATGTGCGCAATTTTTTTCTTGTAACCGAGTTGGGCATTTACCTTGCGATGGTCTTCCAGATGTCAGATAGTTCAGAAGATTCAAATTATAGAGCATATCTTCTGCAATATTGTCTTGAAAGTTCACGATTGATTGCTTTTGTAAAGTTTTTCGAATATAAGACGAAAGCATTATAAATAGCTATATTGAATATATAAAAGCATTTTTTATATGCTTTTACATGCTTTTGCATGAGAGGGAAACATGCAAGACATTGGTATTGGACACATCCCATTCCTTGACTGTAGTTCACAACATAGGTCGGTTTCAGCACAGGTTCTTCTTTGCCTCCCTTCTTTCTTCTTATTTTCCCTCCCTTTTTCTTTTTTTTTTTTTTCTTTTTTTTTTTTTTTTTTTTCTGGCTTATTATATACACATCTTTTTTTGTCATGCCAGCATAAGGACATTTTTTTTTTTTTTTTCTGGCTTATTATATACACATCTTTTTTGTCATGCCAGCATAAGGACAGAATACCTGTACAAGAGTGTGTTCTTACTTCTCCTTTTTTTTAGCTTATACTATGCCAGCTTCTTTGGCATATTTTTCCGATTTTTTTTTCACTGTTCCAACAACATTTGTGTTTTTCTTCATGCAAAATTTTGAATAATATAGGAGACGAATACCAATTATCCGAGAACATAGTATATCCTTTCCCTAAAAGGTGTTCAGCTAGTTTTTATACTACACTTTCCAATACAGGTTTCATCACTTCTTGGAGTTTTGCCTTGTCCTGTGTAAATTTTAAATTGATAATAATATCCAGAATTGGATTTGCACAATTTATAAAATTTAATTCCAAATCTGGCTCATTTGGATGCTATGAATTGTGTATACTTTAGCTGACCTGTGAATTTCATTAGAGATTCGTCTATGACAATTTTTTCTTCCAGAATAACTGTTGAAATCTGGCATTCAAGCACTCCACTAGAGATCGAACTTTTTGTATTTTGTCTTCTTGAGAAACCATCTCATTATTCACAAAATGAAGATAGTGCAGTATGGCCAGAAAAACATTTATGATTCATAATTTTCATAGATATGGGTGTTTCTATTATTTTTTGCTTTGAACAATACATATCTATTTTAGATTTTTTTTATCTGCGACATTATAATGCATGATGCAAAAAAGTATAAACACTTTGATGACCATTTTCAATCTCATTGTCATCACTAGAGTCGCCTAATAAATTTCCATTGTCACTTTCATATAATTCATCCAACTGAGACATGTTGGGAGCATTATTTCAAATTTTTACTAAATTGAAATATGTACTACAGCATTCGTTGTGCGAGGTCAGTACTCTACTGATTACCACTGTTATCGTGTGTTGTTTACTGGTTTAGCCGATGCGTTTTTGTTTATCGGTACTGTTGAGAGGGGGAAAACATATGAAACAGGATCAAAGCATGACTGCTGCAGTGCTGCATTCGCCGAAGAAAGTTCTTCTTGTTTCGGAAACATCAGTGCATCGTTCGCCAAAGAATGTTCTTGCTTTCTCGGAGATGTCAGAGTTTACAATGAATGATGTCTCCCACACACCATTGTATGTCAAGGGATTAAGAAGTATTCATGTCTTTCTAATTTTAATTATTGCCACGTACATGTTGTATATTTTGTTTGAATGTTACCCATATATTTATTAATATAGCCACAGCAACAGATTTTGATTACCTTCTTGTTTTTATAACTATGTGTACTCCATTTCTATTCTTGACAGTTAATAAAAAATATTAATATACAGTTAATAAATAATATTTTCCTTCTTGTTTTTATAACTATGTGACTCCATTTCTATTCTTGACAGTTAATAAAAAAATTTTGCAGTTACTTGACAGTTAATAAAAAACACATAGTTTTTATAACTATGTGTACTCCATTTCTATTCTTGACAGTTTATAAAAAATATTTTTTGTTTTATGTTTACAATAATTATATTTTGCTCTACGAATAATGGAGATGAATTGTTATTAACTGTTATACAAAAATAATGTGATGAGTGTGGCATTTTCTAATCATGATTATAGTGCATAAGTGAGCATTGTTAAACTGCACATAAAACTAATTATCCTGCTCATTATGAGTGATGAAACTTTTCAATATTATGCATTTACATGTTGCACCAAATGTATTTGATTTTATTGCATTTGTATAGAAAAAAAAAAAAAAGACTGGTTAAAATAAATGCTACATAAAAAACAAACATGCTTTATAAAGGCATATGAAATCTATGTAAAAATATGTATTAATTAAATGCCAGTATTTTTGTTTTTACTTACAAGAAAAAGTTATTGGTCGTTTGTTTTAAAACATTTTATTCTCTGTAATTGTTGTATTTCTTTGTGTATTTCTTAATTATCAGAATAATGAAGCAAGTGTGCATGCAGCCTTAGCTGAATCTGTGAGCAGGTTAAAAGAAGCAGAGGAATTATATAAAAAGCAATTTCTTGAAATTTCGAAACTGAAAAAAAAGTTTAAAAATAAATGTGGAAAAAAACAAAAGGTAAGTGAAATGCTTAAAATTTTAAAAATTGCTAAAAACTATGAACAACTAATTCAGAAGTCAAACAACAAAAATCAGCGTTATATTTTCAAATTCACAGGACTAGAATATAACACTGATTGAAAATATAATGCTGATTTTTTTTTTTTTTTTTTTTTTTTTATTATTATTATTATTCCTGAATTAGTATTCGTTCGGTGTGTTATTGTGTCTTAATTATGAACAACTCTATGCAATTAGATTTCTATCTGTTTTAAACTGTTAATACACAAAAAATAATAAACTTTTATTTCTACATTGTTGTTTTTTATGTCAAAAATTCGCAGGTATCATTGATGTCATGGTTACTGACATCAAGCATAGCTCAGTTTCTAAGTGCTTAATATAGTATGGGCACTTCCAGATTATTTTTCAAAAATTTTCAATTTTTTATTTTATTATTATTTTTATGGATCAGTGGTAATGAAATATTTCGGAGGGTTAAGTATTGCTTCCTGTAAGTAGATTTAGTATCCTGACTTTAGGGAAATATTTGTGGCTTCAATGCAAACTGATCCACTAAGATAAATGCACATTTATATCCTAAATAAATCTTTTTCATCACTTCCTTTTATTCAAAAACTATTGATGTATGGTAGTACTAAGGAGCATTTCATGAAATTTCCTATAAGATATTCCTATAATATGTATGATATTGTGTCAGTCCAAAACAGGGAAATTTTTAAAAATGGGATACAGAAGTTGCACTTCTCCCTCCTATCAGCTGGTATTCAAGAAGGATCCTTCCACTCATTTATAAAGCCTGTAGGGCAGCGATTCTCAAATCAAAGTAGTTTTCACTATTAAATTCAAAAAATCTTGTCAAGAAGAAGAACAATTGATAAAAATGTCCTTTGATCGTACTCTAACTGAAGATTTCAAAAATAAGACTTTTTAACTTTTGACTAAACTGGGGGGGGGGGAAGAAAAAGGGAAAAAAAAAAATAAAGGCATTTCGAATAAAGGTATTAAATTTTTAATGCCTTTTTGTGAAACCTATTTGTGTGAACAAGGATTTTCTTCCATGTTGTATTTGAAAAATAAATACAAAACAAAATTAAAAGTGGATCCTAATTTACAGTTAAAGCTAAATGAAAGAAAACCAAACATAAAGAAATTGATCTCTCTTAAATAGGCCCAGATTTCACACTAAATTTTAGAACTAAAGTATTATGACTTAAATTTTGATAATTAAAATGGTAACGAATTTTTAATCGAATATTATTATGTGTGCATATTTAATACAAATAGCCAACAGGTTGTGCAAATGGCAAAATATACTTTTTTTTTTAATATTTAAGAAATTGGAAAATAACCATTGTAAAATGTAGTGGTACTAAAGTTTTTCAATTTTTGTTTAGTTAGACGGTCGCATTAGTGAAAAGTTTGAGAACTGCTGCTGTAGAGGATTGTTTTTGTCAAGCTCATGACAAATTCTGTGGCTTTGAAATCCAGTGCAAATGAAGAACAGTGTCTCGTTGATGCAGAGAGTGGGGTTTAGGAAAATTTCAGTCAAATCCATTTTATTGGAGTACAGTACTTGTGGACCATGGCTTAAATATTAAGGTATGTATTCATACCTTAACATTTAGGCCATAGTCCACAATACATTAAATGGATGAATTACGAAAATCTGTGATGCTACAAGTAACATAACACAGCAATGAAAAATTTGAGAATTTGAGTTTTATAAATGGCAGAGATAAGTTGAATAAACTGCCGCAGCGCACAATGAATTGGAAGTTGATCTGTCAGCACTATCCTTATCTTCAGGGCAGATGATTTATTTTATTTGGCTTAGAATTCCTTACTAAATGTAGTATTTCATCTCTATGTACTCCATCTTTGATATGATTTAAATCAAATTCCTCATTATAATTCGCTTCCGATAGTGAAGAAAGTGACACAGAGGTTATGGAAAACAAAAACATTTCAATCGACAAATTAGTCGGTATTCTCGACACAGCAATTATAGGACTTAAACGGCGGAATTTTTTAACTGAACAAAAAATTATGTCTGTTAATAGAATTGAAGAGAAAGTATTATCACATAAAATGAAGCAACTTGAACAACTTACATTGAAAATGTTTAATAAAGTAAACAAATAAGTATTAAGTTTTTTTTTTTTTTTTTTTTTTTTTTTTTTTTTTGTAAATTTTGTTATCTTTTAGATCATAATTGCTCTTTATTTCATAAATTACGGTTTCATATTTTTAATTTTTTAATTTCTGCATGCCATCTTACCAGATTTAAACTGATGATCTATAATCCGGAATTGCCGAAGTCCCGACGAGTCCGGATTGGCTTTTGACTGTATATGATGCTGGAAAATGATAAAAAAAATTTTATAAGTAATTTATAGTTCTGACATGTAATAAAGCATAAAATATTTCATTTTTTTCTGCATGTTTCAAACATTTTTCTGATGGAGGTTTGTTTTAAAACTTTAGGGTGCTCCAGAGTAAGTTTTTTTTTTTTTTTTTTTTTTTTTTTTGTGTGTGTGTGTGTAAATTATATAGAGTCATAATCTCTTGCTCTGTGACACAGCTTTGTTGTTCGAAAAATTTTAGGTATTTTTCACCAAGTTCCAGACTCTCATTAAAAGATATTTTCTCACTTCTATCAAATTCACTATCTGTGTCAGTGTCAGAATTGTCTTCTTGCTGTGGCAAGTTCAAAACAGAGCCAGTGATTTCATCATCAGTCATCTGATATGCCAGCGTTAGCTCATCTGAACACAGCATCCATTCAACAATATGCAAAGCCTCCTCATTTATTTTTTCTTTTGAAAATAAAAGCAATTAATTCTCTTGCTTTAATCCTTGCTGCACTGACCCTAAAACCAGAAAAATCACTGTCATCACTCTCAGTTTCAATAAACAGAGAAGATGGCCATACATTATGCTGGCATTTACTAATGTCGTTTGGGAAACAGAATTCCATGATTCAGCTAACAAATAAATGCAGTATTTGATGGTGAATTTTTTTTTTTATTATTATTATCACAAAGTGGAATAGAAGGATCACATGAAAGAATTTTTTTCAGAAACTCTGATTTATAGTGGCATTTAATACTGTGTATTATGCCCTGGTCCATTGGTTGGATCAATGATGTAGTATTTGGGGGCAAAAAAAGAGCCATGACATTATCATGTGTTAAAATATTTGCATCTGGATGTGCAGAGCAGTTGTCTAACAATAGTAAAATCTTGCAATTTGATGGTAACCTCACACTCTTACAATGCCTCTTTAATGAAATGCTCCATGAACCATTCAGTCATAAGTTGTTTTGTGAATCAGGAATTTTTATTACTCCTGTAAATCACAGGTAAGGATTTTACTCCTTTCAGAGCTCTGGGATTGGTGCTCTTACCCACTACCACTGGTTTACATTTTGTAAGTTCCAGCTGCATTGCTGCATATTAAAATGGTAACTCTTTCTTTAGCATCTTTCACCCCTGACGATGCACTTTCTTAGCTTATCACAAATGTCTTTCTTGGCAAACATCGCCAAAAAAGTCCAGTCTGGTCCATATTAAAAACCTGTTCTGGGCTAAGATTTTCTTCTGCCACTAACACAGAAAACTCATCAATAAACTCCTCTGCAACATCTTTATCTGCTGAAAGTTTTTCCCCACATGCTTTCTGATAACTTATACCGTGTCTCTGTTTGAATCTGTTCAGCCAACTGCTGCTGAAATTGCACGGCTCTTCTATTTTTAAATCAGCATGAATCTGCTTCACCTTTTCTCTCAGGAACAGTCCTGAAATCGGTACTCCATCATTCCGCCGCTGCCAGAACCACTCGTACAAGACAGCATCGAGGTTTGCTGATTTCACCTCGTGCAAAGATTTCTGGTTTCGGATTCCAATGTTAGAATCACTGTTGCTGTAAAATTTCAACAGTTTTTCTTTATTTTTCTGTATATCATACACAATTCATGTCGCTATTCCATATGATTTTGCTATAAAGCGAGGAGTAGCACCTGCCTCCATCTTTTGCAGAATTTCCACTTTTTGCATTACCGTCAATGCAACGTGTATACGTTTTTCAACGTTGCAAACAGTAAAATCATGAGTGCATTTCCTATCTGTCATTGTAAAGCACTTAAAATTTTCTTAATTGATCCACAAAATAAGCAGATAAAAAAAGGCAGCACTAAACAATCTCGTGAAATAACAAAGTTCAGAAAATACAACAACGTGAATCATGAAGTTGAAAGAAGAGTTGAGTGAATCGTCTGCTTTTTTACCTCGATGCAGATTGCAGTGGAAAACCCTTCTATTTTATCATAATGTCGATAATTTACTATTTACGTTATGACTCATTATTATTCGGTAATTATGATTTCATTATTCAGTACTTATGATGTCATTATTCGGTAAGTATTTTTTTTTCGATATTTTATACTGCATGTTGTGGTTTCCGGAACCTATAAAGTCAATGTTTATATTTTGAGAAGCAACGCAGATTTCAGGTCGGCGGATTTTTGGGATTTGACTGTACTACTGTTTATTAGAATAATATCATATATTCATGTAAGTACCATTCCATTCCATGTATCATTGTAGCAAATTACTATATGTAAATCATCTGTTGTGGTTATTCCACAAATGAATGCTATCACTTTCTTAAGTGAATATGTATTTTTTTTACCAAACTCAGTATTTGTAAATTTGTGTGTATCTTCATCAAGTACCATTTCATTAAGGTATTATCACACATTCATGTAAGTACCGTTTCATGTATCATTTCAGCAGATTAATAGCTATGAATCAACTATTTTAGTTACTCTACAGATGCATTCTATGACTTTGTGAATATGTATTTTTTACTGTAATCATAAATATAACTATGTGCATCTTCTTCAGATTACTAGCTATAAATCAGTTATTTTGATCACTCCAAGAATGCATGGTGTCACTTTGCTGTATGAATATGTATATTTTATTGAGCTCAAAAGTCATAAATGCTCTTGTCTTCACTCTGTTTAATAGTTTTTTTCCTGTCTAAGAAACATATAAGCCTTTTATTGAATGTTCATAATATCTTGCAAAAACTGTTACCCTGCTAAGCCTCACTGCTACTTAAGCCTTTTTTTAATGCATAATAGATAGTATTTTCTTTTGTGTGAAGATTTTTAAAACTGCTTCATTGATAGGTGTTTTATAATAATTATGTTCCCACCAGTTTCCTGGTCAGTAAGACTGCTGAACACTGACAGTTCAAATTTGAGCAGAAGTTGGCATGGATTTTTTTTTTTTTTTTTTTTGGGGGGGGTGTTTGTTTGTGTGTAAATTAAATGCAAGTTAGTTTTACTCAATAAGCCTTTCATGCAGGCATCCTTTCTTTTGAGAAATACATACCTCTTACATGCTTTGTCATCTAAGTGAATCATTATAACTCTGTTAAGGTTTGATAGGTTTTTTGCCCCTACAGAATTTTGCATGTTTTTAAAGGATATTTTAGTATGTTAAAAATTTAAAAACTTTTAATGCTTAAAAAACTTCTCTTTTTTTCTCCTTTTCTTTTTTTGGAGGGGATGAGGAAGGTATATTTTTAAATTATATTACAGTATCTATTGAAAGTGATGTTGTACATATTCAGCATTTTAAATAAATTCTAGGATTCAATTCTTAAACTTTGTGATTGATGATTAGTTTTGACTGCTAGTAGTCTGCTTGTAAGACTGTACATTCATTCTTGCAATAAAGTGTTCGTTTTAAGTATTTAATAAAAATATTTGTATATAAAGTTAATTTCACAAACTGTACAAGTCCATTAAATGGGTGTGTTTTTAGGTAACTCTATCAGAATCATGCTCCCAAGCTTCTGAATCTTTTTCTTCTGTTGAAGTTAAAGAGAAGTCTTTTTCTTCTATTGAAGCCACTGGATTTTCTCCAGGTAATGATGAATTTATAAATTCTTTTTGAAAGTGCATTTTGCGTAATTTTTCAATAGTTCGGAAAAAAATTATGCGATGTTCAATTCTAGTAGCGCATTTAAAGAAATGAGTTAATTGAATCCTTTGTGTTAAAAAATAGTTGTGATATTTATATGATTTATAATTCGTCTGACATATTGTGTTTATTAATCTAATTGGATAAAGTAATCGGTGCATGCACAAGCTTAATGCTTCCTTTTTATTGGCTTTTGTCTTTTGCTTCTTAGCTTGCCAAAATATTAGTTACTAACCTTTAACAACTTATAAGGAAGGGGTATGTATAATCAGAAATTACCTTATCATTCTCTAATAACATACAAAGGAGACTGTAATGTGACTGGCAAAGCAATTGATGCTAAACAGTAATTGAGGCAGTTTTCTTGATATATTTTAAACATTTTTGTGAATTATTATTTCTAAAAGAAATAATGTCAGCATTTTGTATATTTTTTTAAATATCGTATCTGCATGTGATATAAGTCATAGCTACCAGTTCTCCCAATTTTTCATTGCATATGGCAAATTAACAAATCTCCTGGTTTTTAATTTTTAGCCTTTACGTAGGAAAGCATTCCCTTGCAGTAAATGAAATTCATTGAATTAATGATACTTAAATCGTACAAATTCCATTGTCCTTCTCATAATGGTTTTCAGCATAATATTTCTTACTAAATTTTATTTGATCTGAAACGTTTAACTCTCTGCAGACACATTTGAAATTTTATATGATGATTCACCCATGTTTAATCAGTTAATATCTGTATTATTTATTTTACATAAATATTTGGTTCCATTACTAAGTTTTTCCACATCATAGTGCATAATTAATTATTATTTTCATTGTATAAAAGTGTTAAATTAAAAGTGAAAGTAAAATTTTTTAATTCTCTACTCGGAATTTTCTCAGTATAAAAGTGTTAAGAAAAATTACAAAGTAATTGAAAGGGAAAGTAAAATTCTTTCTTTCTCTACTCGTAATTTTCTAAGTGTCAAGTAAAATTACAAAATTAAATTAGTATATTTTACATTAGTGTCATATTATAAGAAATTCAGTAACCATGAATCATGTATTATAAAATTAATTGAAGTCAATTTAAAGTTTTTTTTTTAAGTAGCATCCTCACACGATACAGAAACTCATGGTTTGAGAAATGAGGACTTCCTTGTTTTTCATTATTCAAGGTTGGCAGCTATGGTAATTGTGAAATATGAATTCATGTTTTTTTATAATGTCCAGGGGTTCCAATTTTAATAAATAGTTGGATTTTTTTTTTTTTTTTTTTTTTTTTTTTTTTTTTTTTTTTTGGTCTTGTTTGAATAAAAAGTACAGGCAGCCATATCTGATAGAAAATATGTTTCTTTATGCATGGTATAATTGTTTTCAATTTTCAGCAGTTTTCTTCTTAGTTTTACAAGCTTATAGATTTCTTCTTGTTGGAAATTACTTGGTTTTTCTTCAAAAAGTTGTGAGTAATTTTTGACAACTTCTATGAAATCAAATTTCTAACCATTCAAACTGTTCTGCTGAGATCAGAACAAATGAAAGACTGAAAGAAGTAGTCTGGAAAATTTTCTCTCTATTTCTACAACATAGGGTAGGCAACATCCTTTCAAGTGACTAAAATCAGATTTTTGTGAATTTCCACATTGAGTTTTGAGTTTGTTGAGTAGCTCATAGTATTTATTCTTCATGATTATTTTGCTGGATGATAAAAACTCGAAAAAATTATTTTCTAATAAACTCTGCAAATCAACAGTTTGCTGCTGGCTATGAAATAAGCACTAGTGCTGCCCTGTGCCTATGTTTCTGCTTCCTGTGATTGAATGATTTTAGGATATGTAGAATATTTAAATATTAATTTAATCATAGTTTGATGTTAAATAGGTATTTAAAACATTTTACTCTAGATATCAGCATTTTATATTATATGGACTTGGGTTCCTCTTGACTTGTTTTGGAAACATGAACTGTCCTGACTCGGAACAGGGAGCTTACTCAAGCTATGTTCAATAAATTGTGAAGTAGACAATACACACAGGAAGGGTATACGAAACCCTTTATTTTTTTATCTTTACAGGTATTTCCGGAACTTCGGAATACAGAGACCAACCACTTGTGGTCTGAACGTAAGAATATAAAACTACTAACTAAAACTAACTTTGAATTAGTATACAAGTGCCTAGCATTAAGATTGGCCTTTATTTAACAAAGGTCCGTATGTAGTACGCCGAGTTGCTTAAAACTACAATACGTTTGAAATTATCAAGAGGATTAAACCTCTGGCCTTGAAGGCAACCAGCAACCGAGTGAAAACTCGTAAAACTACTATGGCAAGCGGCTTGCTTCCTAATAACTCCTTCCTCTCTCTCTTGCTTGGCAAAAAGCCACAACTTAAGTACTTAGCAAGACAATTTGCATAAATAAGTTAAAGCTTTTAATTCTGGCCAGAAGTCTGGCCAGAAAAGAAAATAAGAAGTGATAGTAAAGATTTAAAATAAAATAAACGTTAGTAAAACTTAGGATCCTTACAATATATTTTGTTGTATAAAGACAGGCCATATATTTCTGATCATAAGCGTATCTATGTACACTGAGAGAGGTGATTTTATTGCAAACCTTTAAAACCTGCATAAAAGTTAAATTTAAAATCAAGCTATAATCATAGCCAGGTGTCATCAAAAATAATCAAACATAAAATGCAGCTAGATCTATGAAATGAGCTGAAGATAGGTGCAAACTTCTCATCTTTTTAATAGAATGGGGGAGAAATTATTTTTTTTGTTAACACGTTGAGTGCCACGCATATTTTTTAGGCAATATCGTTCAGGTCACGCGTGCCACTTAAAAACCCCGGTATTGTAGGGCTAGTGATTCTTATCACAGTAGAAGATAGTTTACATTTGGAACATGATTCCTATAGGCATTCATTCAACACATTACGCACCAAGTCTGTTTTATAAATAGTTACATTCTATACAAATATATTACGAAGCAGAAAATTAGCATTATTGAGTTCCGATTTCAAGTTGTGAAAAAGAAGACATTCCATCAAACAGAAATGCATGAATATCTAAAATCAACAACATAAACTCCAAAAAAAAACCAGGAAAAGCCTCTGAAGTACGGAAATATTGTAAATTATGTTATTATAAAAATGCAACAGAAGCTGGTGCAGTAATGGCCAGAAAAAAAGACTAAGATAGTTGTCACATTCTGTAATAGCTGTAATGGAGAACCGTTTTCATGTTTACAGTGTTTCATTGAGATTTATTAGACCTGTAATGAATCAAAATTAAGTAAATTTTAAATAAATTTTCTGTAATTCCATAAAACAGTGTAAATTTTATAGTTATATATCATGTTACACACTGTCAGCCAGAGGTGGTCGACGCAGCCTAAACGGAAAGTCTAGTGTCCACCACAGATGGCTGACGTGGTGCTCAACGTGTTAAAAAATAATGTGTCAGTAATATAAGTAAACTTCAAGATGCTATTGATGCTGAAATGGAGGGCAGTGCCATTCACATTTACCTGCAATAGAGAGCAATTTCTGTGAATTGCTTGAAAATTCCAAATCTTTACTGATTTTAGATGTATGGTTAATTTACTGGAAGATTAATTCAAATATGTGTAGTGTTTTTCAGTTAATTTCATGTTATTTCAATAATTAATATTTCATTTATTCATTTTTTGATCAAATTATTAGTAAGACATTTGAACTTATGTGTAAGCCTATCAGATATGAGTACCAAAAAATTTGCTAAAAATTTTCCTCTTATGCACAGAAATATATGGTAAATGGTAGTATTTTCGTAACATTTTTGTAGGATTCATTTAAAAAGAATATCCAACAGCTACAGTAGATAAAATCCAAACTTTTAAGTTGAGATCAGCATGCTAGTTAACAGGGAAAAAAATGCATGAATTTTTATGTGTGATAAAGTAATATATAGTCATACTATGATAAGCTGAAATGATAAAAGCAGAGGAAAGAAAGAAAGAAAAATCAAGTTATGACGAATATAACATGAAGAAAAGTTAACATTGATTGTGAATTCAACAATTTAGTATTTATGGTTTCATAGGATTATTGAATATAGATTATATCAAGCTTTTTAATCTGGCAAACAAATGAGCTGTTTGAATGTTTTAATGTTTTTTCTTTTTGTAATATGAATATAAACTTGTTTTCTTTAGAAATTCTTCCATGAAAGCATCCTGTGAGGAGATAGTCCTTGTGTACTTTGCCACAATCAGTTACACGATTAATTATTTTAATAGTCAGGTAAAATTATTGAACTGCTAATGTAAATATCGCAATAAAGAGCAAAAATTGACTGATGCTAATTATTCAGATTAAGACAGTTTTACTTAAAAAGTCCATGTATTATGAATATATATATGTGTATAAAATAATTAAACTTCTTCTCTTTCATGTAATAATTTGTATTTAGGACTTTGATTTGTAAATGTCCCCCCATGCAGTTTATAGATAAGGCAAAAGTGCACTTTTATAAATTACAGTTTCTGTGACTAACATGTGGAGAAAGTATTTTGTTGATATTTATTAATTATCTTTTTAGGTGGATCACTAACTAAGAAAGTTCCGTCTGTGAAAGACTCTAGTGATTCTGATACTGGAGAACATGTTTTAGGCAATACTGTTCCTTTATATCCACAGGTGTGTATTTTCGTAGGCTGTTTGTTAAAAACACATCAGCATTTTATGTATGTAATTAACTTAGTAATCTTAATTCAAGGATAATATCCTTGATTAGTAATATAATATATAATGGAGCCATTAGATATACTATAATTATATTTAATTGTCAGTATATGAGTACTTTCTTTCCTATAATTTATTTTTTAAAAAACGGGAAGCATGTGGAAAATGGTGTAACAGGGAGAAAAAATTTATATCATGCAAGTTTATATCATGCAAGGGAGGTGTAAAATACATTTATATATACATTATTTAGTCATTTTGTTTTCTAGAATATATAGTAATGCAAAGTGGTTGGCATCTTGAATGGCAAAAATCTTGAAATATTTTGAATAAAATGATCTTTCTGTTTACTTACTCTGTAAAATATTTCAGATGATTGATTTGCCTTAAATCTTTTCAGAAGTCTACTGTAAAATCATAAAAATATCCTAAAATTTTCCTACCCAAATTTAATACAGGGTAGTTCAGTAAGTTTTAAGTGTGCCATGCTTGTTTAAAATAAAGGTGTAAAATTACGTTTTACATCTTTTTTTTATAATGCTTTTTTACATGGTTCTCAGGGTTCTTACAGTCCTTAAGAGTCCTTAGATTTTTTGGTCCTTAATTTTGGCCAAAATCAGCAGAAGGTCCTTAATTTTAATCATTTGAAATTTCTGTCTGTTTTTACGACTGCCATTTTGAGTGTGAATTAGCATTTTGGAGGAATTTTTTTGGCGACTCATTGAGGTATATGGTTATCTTTTGAATGTGTTCATGAGTTATGATTTTTTTCTATTTCTAATATAAATGATAGGATACTTGCGTTTCTAAGCAAGAAGTGAAACGTAAGCATTTCGAAAGTAAATTTTTCTAATAATGAGCTCTTAAACAACTTTTCGTTTCTGGAGATGTGAATTCTTTTATGAAACAGTTCAAAATTTGGCGACTTTTCAACATTTTGGCGATTTTAAGATCAGTTTCTATAGAAACTTTTTAATTCCGAGATCTGAGAGTTTTTTGACGATTTTTTTTTTAAAACATCGTAAATTTCAGTAAAATAATGGTAATATATTGAAAATATATTTAAAAAATAACATTAAAAGTAAACATTTTTGTTTTCGCTGTCATATTATGAAAATTTCATTTTCGCAACTTATTATACAATATTTTGACTTAAGATAATTAAGATAATTGACTTAAGATTTTGACTTTGTGATAAAGGATAAAAATAAACAAGGTATAATGCTATAAAGCACAATTTAAGAAACAGTACTTAGCAAAAGCAAAATTAGCTATGTAATTATTTAAAAATGTCTTCTTTTTAATTTTTTCATACGCATTTTTCCCATGTAATTGTCTCAGAATGGGCATCAGTTTTCTCTATAAAATTAATTTTACACTTTTTCCCTCCTTTTTTTCCCAAAATATTTCTGGCTTTTTGCTGTTACAGAATTAATTCGGTAGGGGATAATTTTTCTTAAGGATTTTAGACATTGCAGCTTGGAAAGTTTAGAAGGATTTGAATGCAAGATTTATAGATCCATGATTCTAGAAGATTCGAAAATTATGTGATGACAAAATGGAAAATGTCTCCATGGTATCAACATGTAATGGATGTATTTTACAGAAAGTTTGCAATGAATTTCTTACTTTTTGGAGAATGTCTGGAAGAACAATGAAAACATAATATTTGAATGTTTTACTTTTGATACTAGAATCTTAACATGTTTATCTTCCTTTTATTTTCTCTACTTTTCACTAGACACAAGCATGGAAAATATCAAAATCCTTCTAATCTTATCACATATGGGCAGGCATTATAGAAAGGGATTTTTTTTTACAAAAGAAATTGAAAACTTACAATTTAAAAGATTCATCTAATATGTCTTAATGCATCATACACATAGCTGGCACTAGGTATTTTCTCACATGATGCAATCTGTGGATCCTAAATTCTGCTGCCTAGTGCCTTTCTAAATTCTGCTTCCAATGCCTGCTCTAAATTCTAAAATTTTTCCATTTCTAGATTTTGTAATTCGGTGTGTCACTAAATTCTAAAAATTCTGCCACGTCAGCTCTGTAACCAGCCTTTATCATATATATTTCATATTTCTTCTGAATGTTCATATTACTAAAGAAATAAAATTAGCTGCATTTTCTGTACATTCTGAATGCATTTAGTGTTTTTTAGAATAACAGAAATCCGTAATTAAATCCAAAAATTCTAAAAGGAAAAGGAAACATGTTGGAGAAAGAAACTGAATATATAAAGAAAATTATTCTTCAAAGATATGTGCAGTTATTATTATGTAAATTACTCAATTGTTTATGATCTCAGCCTTTACTATAATTTTCCCATTTCTATTTCCTCATATGATAGAGTTACTGAGCCAGATTAAATTAAAATTAAATTATATAATCTTTGACCACTAGGCCACATTATTAGTTTGAATATGACTGCTTTTGTTTAATTACATCAATTTTGTTTAATTCATCATAACAGCTGTAATTGATTTTGTTAGCATCAGAATATGCCTTTATGTTAAGTTCTTTTTAAACTTTTCTGATATTGTAGTTACTTTCAGACATAGCGATAATATGCTTCACGTCTGTCAGGGGTTTAGGACTATTTAACTTTTACCAGATCAAGTAAACCCTCATAGGTACATTGTGTAGAGGTTGACAAGTTAGGAGATAAAGCACGAAGAAACTAGTAAGACTATGCATATTGAGACAAATCCTCTAATTGTTAGAAAAGATGCTTAAAGAGAAGGACATTGATATAAACTAGCCAAAATGTCTGGAATGGCTTCAAATTAAAATGACGGATAAATATTTTGTTGAGTGTTGTTATAAAACATAAATGTTTTGTAGCTTTTAATGTGTAATTATCCTAATATCGTTTAAGAATCAATGTCATAAATTACATGTATTTTAAACTGTAAAAAAATAAAATTTAATAGTGGTCATACATAATGACTAAGGTTATCAAACTACCTTTATAACTAACTGCTTACCCTTAAAAAGTATCTCTACATATTAAAGAAAGTTATTGTCTTTCATAAATACTCACTGTGGTCACAAGATAAAATACAAAAATATAAAAATTCATGTAAAACTTATTCTTTGCATCTGCTGAGACTTAAAATATTACAAAACAACTTATCACCTCTCTTGGTTTAGTCTTATTGAAACCTTAAAGTATATTAACTGTGTTACAACCCCTGGAACTTTACACAAAGCTCTGACACTAACTACATCAGAGTCTGACTAACTTTAAACGCTTGCCAACTGTGCCTATATCAGGCCTTTCATTTTTATTCTAATCAGCAGGTCTCTCTCTCTAGACAAGCAACAGTGGTGACAACATTCAGTCTTTTGTTATGAATCGTCCTGATTATGATCTTACTTCTTATTTTAACCTATGCTGCTTGACATAAAATCTACCTGCTATTTACTAAACCTCTAGATCAGTGTTTCTTAAACTGTGGGTTGTGACCCCCAAGAGGGTCGCGGGACCTGCAGCAGGGGGTCGCCAAAAATTTTAGCAGTTTTAATATTTCTTTAACTTATTATAATAATTTTACAGTTGCCAAATATTTTTACTCAATGTATCTGAAAATAGATAAAGAAGACAATGCTGATGGGAAAAAAAAAAGTATTTCAATGCCCTCTTTTTATAATATAAATGTTCATTTTCTTTGCTTTGCACGTGACGCTGTCATTTCTTCTGTTACTTATTTAATATTTTCACAGTGTTCTATGTCTTAAAATTAGAAATTAAAGTTAATGACCTAAAACTGGAATAGTATATTACAGTAAAGTGAAAAATTGATAGTTTCACTCACTCGTGTGTCGGATTTGCGCAATACTTATGGGGTCCCACAAAATTTTTGTAAATATTATGAGGTATTGGGATGGGTCGCAAAAAAATCTCAGTGATAAAAGGGGGTCACAACGGAAAGACGTTTAAGAAACCTTGCTCGAGACTGAGCAAGTATATGACAAAATGAGACACGCACACACACACAAATAAATAAATAAAATAAAAAAATTAAAAAATAAATAAATAAATAAAATAAAAAAAAATCAGCATAAAGCTAACTGTTAGTAAAACGTAAATGTCGTGTATCTTCTTTCAAATATGACCAACTATTATAAGTGTAAAATATTTAATGTTGCTTGATAAATTGCATAAAGTTTATTTTATTCTGAGATTTAATTATAATTATGTTCAGTAATTCATGTTTAGTAATGATGCACACTACTTAGGGATCTATTTTATTTTTAGGATGGTATTACAAAAGTGAAATTCAGGCATAGATAATATTTTTAATTGAATTTATAAAGTTCCCATTTGCTCATAGGTCCTTAATTTTTTCATTAATGGTCCTTAAAAGTACTTAATTTCTGTGTGCCGAAAAGTATACGAACCCTGGTTCTATTTCATTTCAGTGCATTTAGCAATCCATTAATCATCAAATTTAAGCTTAAAAATTATTTTGCCATGGTTTTTCTAAGCATTCCTGAACAGCATCCTTCAAATCATCATTGCTGCTAGAATGTGAACCTTACAAATGTTGCTTCAGTGTTTGAAGGGAAAAAAAGTGTGTGTGTGTGTGAGAGAGAGAGGTCTGTTGGAGCCAAATCTAATGAATATGATGATTAGGGAAGAAACTGAAACCTTCCCTTCATTTTTGAATAGCTGTATAGGAAATCTGAGCTTCTGTGATAGATCAATGACATGGAAAAGCAACACTTTTCAGCTGAGTTTGTAATGCCATCTCAAATTTGAGTTACCAGGCTAGCATCATAAATGCCTGTTATGATTAAACACTAGAACATGGGAAAATCTGACCTACTGGAACGGCGGTAAGGGGTCATTTTGACCCTTCGATGAAAGTACTGAAATAACAGCAGTAAAACAATTTAAAATCCATACATTGGCACAAATATGTATTTTATATGTATTTCATAATTTATATTTAATATCACACAGTTCCAGACATGTTGAATTGAGAAGATTATTGTTTTCACATTATTCTCTCCCCCAAGATCAGTGTAGTGAAACAATGTTTATTCTCCTGCCATTAGCTATGAATAAAATTCGAGAATATTTGATACATGCTTCTCCGTTTCTGGCATCAGCATTTTGGGCACGCATATGGCACAGACCTTTGACATCTTCAGCATTTCATGCAAGATTTTTTCCACTCATCGAACACATGCCTATTCTCAGAAACTGTCGCTTTCATATATTTCCTACCTTGTATTCCTGAGCAGTAGCACTAATTTCTTCTGTGGTCGTAGCCATTTTGCAACGTGATCTGGGATTATTTTTGAGTGGTGCTGTTCCCTGTTTAAACATGGGAGACCACCTTAAGACAGTGTCACAGGAAGATGTTGCATATCACCACACCCTGCAGCCTTGTGGTCATGAGTAATTGTTATGTCTGCTTAGTCACTAAACAATATTTGAACTTTCATTATTAAGAGATTGATCATTGATTAACAGATCATCATATTAACTATGACAATCTTTTTTTAGGCATTAATTAATAATTATCATATTAACAGATTATCATTGACTAACTGATATTTAACAGCTTTTTAAGAATGCTGTGTATGCTTTCATTAACATTGTGTATGTATTCTTTTTTATACTTTCAAGGATGTTGCAACCATTTCACTGCTTTGTCATGCTACAGGTTTTACATCATACTTAGGCTTTAAACTTGTATGCCCTTTACAAAATATTATTATTTATTCTTTCTGAATTGAGAATTTTTTGAATTAAATATATGTTCACTATTTTTGGACTTTTTGGTATATTTTGTTACTATGATAGAAAAGAATAAATTCAAGTTATATAACTAAAATTTGGAAACATGTTGCATTTTTCATTGTTCTGCGAACCAAAAGTGTACTATCCTGTTTGCCCTTTGAACTCACATACTTGTATCTTTCTCATTATAAAATGTATAAAAAGGAAAATTATAAAATATTTAGTAATATCATGTAAGATATGCATACAAAAACAATCATTCATATAAAAATGACATCCTTTCTTATGAATTTTTTATTAGCATCTAGGTTATATAATTATTAATCATTTTGTTTCCTTTTGTAAATATCAATGTTAAGTTCATCAGAAAAGAGTGTTGGTATTAAGAAAACTGGCTTAAAATCTGTTAAATTTATTGAAATGGTATAAGTGTTAAAATGATAAGAAAAGTCCAAAATTTCATTTACTTTAGGTTGATCTAGTTACAAATCTAAATCTTGATCTAATTCCTAATTCACTGAATGAAGGGTCTTCAGTTGCAGTGCCTGTTACAGTCTTTTATCATAACTATTGGAGATTATATTATAATATTAAGTGCTTCTGATTTTCTCTCAAAATGTAACTCTGATTAGACTGTCACTTGAAACTGTTCTGCAGTAATTTCCAGCAGAATTTCATTAGTCCATTCCTATGAATTTAGTGTAAGGAGCAGTCATTTATATCATCTTCAGACCATGTCTATCAAAATTTAGCACTGTTTTACCACATTTTAGCACTTGAATCTTTTAGTGTAATATGTTTTTATGATCCCAAATTCCTCAGTAATGCTTCATTACATTTAGCCTAATGTCTTGTCCAGATTATATTTTGTTTACTAAGGTGCTTTTTGCAGAAATAAGTTATAGCATTTTTTAAAATGACAGTTGAAATTGTTTCATACAGTTATGATTTTTCATACAGTGTTTTTGTAATATGTTTATCTGATTACCTAATTCTTGTAACAAGAAATAAAATTTTACATAATAAGTCTCTAAACTCACTAACATTTTTCTTCCTATAATATGATGATAGTAGCATTTGAAAATATAAATTCTCAAACTAAAAGCTGTAGGCTTTCTATGTTCAAATGTTCATAATTGAGCATTTGTTATTTTTCTTGTAATCTAATGGTCCTGAATATAGATTGGTGTTTAACATTTATCCAGTTCTCAAGTATTAACCAAAGCACTTTTCTTGAAGAATAACTTGATTAGTACCCTCCAAATTTGTCTACTTACACCTGGCTCAATGGACAATATTCTGCAGAAATTTTAAAAACTCTTCAGCAGTTCTTTTGTTTATTAAATTTTTATAAATTTGTTATTTTATAGATGGTTATATAAAAAGAGTTGCATTATTTTCTTTTCTCCATGTGATTGTTTTAGATTTGTATTTGTGTCATTTTCTTTCTTAAATTGATTTTTTCCCCACAGTTTCAAAATATTTTTCCTGAAGCAGAGCATGTTAAACAACAATTACAACCTAATGTATCTTGTAAGCCAAGCAATCAAAAAAGCATTGTGAATGAATCAAATGCATGTCCTTCTACGGGTAAAGTATATTATTCTTTATAATAACCAGGAAATATATATATATAATGAAATTACATACTTAAATTAATACATCCCAGGAATAAAAACAGTGAAAAATAAAAAAAAAGTTATTAAAATTGCATGTAATGCTTTTATGCAAACTGCTAAACTTCTTTGGCTAAAAATGATTCAAGATGATAGTTTAAAGGAAACAAATGAAAGTTTGAAAAGTTAAACAATTAATGATTGTACCCAATTGAGCAAATTCACAAGAAACACCAGGAGGTGTTTATCTGAAGTTCTTCCATAAGTTAATTGCTAGGAACCCTTTATAAAGCTTTTCTGTCCGTGTCGATATCTGAAAGTCACTCCTTTATTCTATATTTTATGTTAATAAATTTTAATTTAAGTGGCGCCTTTTAAGTAGCCTTACACATATTTATAACAAACTCTGAGAAATAATTGTAACCATTTCTACAAAATATTAAAAAAAAAAAAAACTAAACATGACTAAAAATTGCAAAAATTCTTAAAAACTATAAAAACAATTTAGAGCTCTAGATTATAAATAATACGATTACTTAAAATTAAAAATTAATTAATAAATGTTAATTAAGATTAAAAAATTATGTAAATTTTACTGTGAGTACATATATATTAATAAAGGGGCCTAAAATGCTATGAAGGTTGCTATTTTTACTTCTAGCCTTGGCAACAGTAAATATTGGTAGGCAACCGCAGAAAATTCCACTCAAAAGTTTTAAATGCAACTTCTTCAGAACGTTTTGCCATTTTAGCATGATTTGTGTTGTTTACAGTAAATTCAAAAATTCATCCCGGGCAAAAAATGGAATTGACTTGTGAACATTTTTATGTGATTATTTTTATAACTTTTGACTTGGATTATCAGGACAAGAATGCTTCAGTGAACTTAGTTCTTTATACAGCAATAAAGCACCATTCTACAGCACTGTAAAAAAACTGGTATAACAAATTCAATCATGGTCAATGTTCACTGCAGAACGAATTCACAAGAATTAGAATTAATCTGTTTATAATCTTACAAATGCTCAAAAGAAGGCTCCTGTCGATTGGTGCCAAGAAATGTTGAAAAAATACATTCAAGGTGTATCAAAGGCTGTGTATAACATCTACACAAGTTACTGCATGTAATTTTAGTACGTTCTGTATTTTTCATTGTTTTTTTACTAAATATCCTGGAATATTAATTTAATTATTTAACAATATCAGCTGCATTAGTGCTGGATTTTACTTTTGAAGTCTCTTTATTGTTTTATTTTATATATTTGTATAAAGTGGTAAAGCAGATTCAAATATCACACTCAGTTTGTTTAAAGTGAAAAAGAAATAGCATAAATATTACAAATACCACCGTATAATGTTTGTAAAATAAGCAAATAAAAGAGTACTGATTTACATTTCCTTGTATCCCTTCAGTGAGCTGGTATTTCGAAAAATGCAAAAGAATAAACCTGTTTTTGAGCCAATAGATGAACTATTAAACTTAATATACAATTTAAATAAAAAAAATAACCTGGCCATCCACCAGCCCAATTCTAACAGGGTGGAAATGAAAATATACTGTAAAAAATGGAAGTAAAGTGTGGAAATATGAAATAAAATTGCATTTTAAACAATTTTTATGAATTTTTTTTAATTTACTGCAAAATGAAATTTGAAGAATTTTTTAAAAAATCAGTGTCTTATAATGAGAAAAATTTTAATTCATAGAAAACACTTCTATACAAAGCCAAAAAAATTAAATCTAAATTAATATTGCATTGTAACAAGCTGCCAATAAAGTAACCCTAATTTTTGGAAACCTCGCATTAAAAATAAAATTCTATTAATTATAAAAAATTATTATTGCATACATAAAAAGTAAGTAAGCAGAAATAAAAACTTTTCATTTGGAAAAATAAGCACTAAATAAATCTTTTAGTACTTGACAATGGCAAAATCATGAATGCTATGTTTCTGTTTTCATAGAAAGCAAATATGTAATTAGTAGAAGTACTTTGGTCAGATATATCTAAGCACGCATCATGTCCACAAAAGTCCTCACCTGGTCTTTATATTTACAATTGTTGGTCATTGACACATACTTCTAGCTACAGAAACATTTTAAAATGATGAAAAGATTTCTGTTTTAGCATTTTTAAATTTCAAGAAATCAGTTTTGTAAAAATTATGAAATCTAACTTTTTATATGTTCTTCCAGTCTCCATATTTAATTTTAGGAGAATTTTATTGTCATTATAAAAATTAAAACACAATTTATTTATTTTTTTTTTTTTTTTTGTTTGTTGTTGTTGTTGACTCCTGTTCAACAAAAATTCACCGAAATATTTAATATAATAATCAGGAATTGTATTCAGGGGCTAATTTGATATTTGAAGAGATTTTAGATTTGTTTACATATTTAAGTAACTAAAAATAAAATATTGTTTAGGGGAAAAGGTTTATCTTAAAAGATTATGTGACGAGCATTTCTGTGCAGATTGTGAAAAATATATACCGTAATTTCCGGAAGAAAGGCCACATCAGCGTAAACGCCACACTCAAGAAAAATGGCAGGAAAAAAATTAAAATTACACAGAAATGCCGCAATAGATTTAATTGTGCGTGGCATCGTCGTGGGCCATATAGATGGAAAATCTCAACCTATGTCTGGATATATGACATATAAGTTAAGAAAAATGCATGAAATGAAATCATAACTCAAAAATAAATTAAAGGTAAGAAATGTTGAAAATATATTGCGTTCACGAATTACTTTATATATCCATTAAAGAAGTCCATATTGTATACTCAGACTATATATAAAAAATGTTGCAACAACGAACTATTAAATTTGGATTACAAAAGAAAATTTTAAATTTTACTTACAAAAGGAATACAGCAAACAATACATCATATGAAGCCATCAAAATCTGATTCTTCACTTTCTGAATAAAAAGATTTAGTAAATCCTGATCTAAGTCCCAAGTCTTCCAGTTCGTCACATTCATCCTCTGGTTTACAGTCTCTTTATCTAAAGATATAATTCAGCTCTTGAATCTGCATTATTGACGATGTTTTACATTTCCACACATTTCCTACCCGCTTTGCAACTTCTTCATAAGATGGTCTACGCATTTTGCCGCTTTGGTATAGTATGCAGTCCTTCACTCATCCAATACTTCCACCACTTCGGACTTCAGCTTTGAAAGATTTATTACCTGACAATCTAAGGTTGTAAGATTTTGTCAAACCACCAGGAATTATTGCTACGGTCTAGACAGTTTTTGACATCTGGTTTTCACTGACTCAAGTAAATGCGCGCGCATGGAATCCCTTATCAATAACCCTTTTGGTGGAAAAAGATCCCTTATGATACTGCAAAAACTTTTTGTAGCCACTCATGCATGATTGTTTCGCACATCCAGCCATTCTCGTTTGCACAAATAATTATGTCAATAGGAAAATCTCCCTTCGGAATAGTTTTCCGTTTAAATGTGGTCATCGGCTTTAGCTTGTCGTAGTTTGCGGCACAAGCTAACACACATGCAAATTACCTTTCATGCCCCGTCCTAAGCACAGATACAGTTTTTGCACTAGTTTCATCAGCAGTTCTGTTTGCAGGCGAGTCGAAAGCTAACGGCATTTCATCCATATTTATTATCTGTGACCAAGAAGTTTCTTTTCTCAATAATATCTGTCACATATTTTAGAAAGATGCCTTTTTATCCTCCAGTCCATTGGTAATTGTTGCCCGACTGTTGTTTAGTACGCACAGAAATATTTTTTTTTCATAAATGTGCTACACCAGCAAGGCCCTTTGAAATCATTTATGTCATTTGCTTTGCTGTAAATTTTGCTTGTAAACGAATTTTTTTACAGTCGAAATTGCATTCCTTTTTTTCGTTGCTCCTTATCCAGTTTGCAAGGTCGTCCCTAGATTTGGCCACCTTACAGTACCACTTTTAGGCTCGTTTCTGTTGTGCATATTTTTAAGTTCTTCTTTGTCAGTTCTCCAACATCGAATACATCTCTCGTCCACTTTCAAACTCTCGAAGCTACTGCTCTATTTCCAATGTTCAGCACATGAAATTACATTAAGCTTAAAACCAGCAGTATAGCTTCTGTGCCGTTTAGGTGCCATTTTAAAAAATTTTCCCCTCTTAAAAACTATCCAACAAGTACTTGTACTTAAAGTTAAAAACTGTCCAACAAGTTTAGGAAAACTTTTCTTTTCTTTTTTTTTTTTTTTCGTACTTATATGGTAAGGAAAATATAAAATTTTAAAATCTTTTCTGACAATTACGTAAAGTGCCAACAATTGGACCATAAATTTAATTTATACAAATTTTTCCCGAAGTTGGGCTTAGCAGAACAAATTGCCCATCACCATAAGACAGAACATCCTGTTAGCATGCCAGCCCAAGAGAATGGTTCGATGATTAAGGCGATTCAGTGACTCTTCCTTCAGTTGTTTCACCACAAGTGTGGTAGATTTTGTTAGCATAAGAAGGTGCATCTAAGGGCTGTTTAAATAAAAAGGTTGTTTAAACTTTTCCAAGACTTTGTAGTTATTTTAGACATAACGATAATTCACTTCATGTCTATAATGGCTTTTGGATTCATTAGCTGCTCCAAATCAAGTAAAACCTCATTCTGTTAGCTGGGCTTATGTTCTGAATTTGGGTAATACAAACTGAAAGTGTTTGGGAGCCACTGCATTAACCCATTGAAGGGCAGTATATAAAACAATTAAAATTGTGGTAAAATTTTGCATGAATTGTAACTTATGGACCCTTAGAATACAAAATTGAGACTTAAAAAAATCTAGAGCAAAATCCTGAATTTTGAGAGCCGGTATACGAGGGCTATCCAGAAAGTAGATTACGTTTTGGAATAAAAAAATAAACAAAGTATAGGAAACAAATTTTATTATATACAGATGAAAGCCACACTCAAATACACTTTTCTACATAGTCACCATACAAATTAAGGCATTTATCGTAGCGATGTACGAGCTTGGAAATTCCTTCGTCGAAAAATTCGGCGCCTGCGGCCTTCAACCACTTCGTTACCTCTTCTTGCAGCTGTGCGTCGTCATCAAAACGCTGCATAGCAGCCACTTCTTCATTGCTGGGAATAGGTGGAAGTCGCTCGGTGCCAGGTCGGGACTGTACGGCGGATGAGGAAACAACTCCCACTTAAAAGATTCAAGAACTTTACGAGTGACATTTGCCGTGTGGGGCCAGGCGTTGTCGTGAATCAACAAGATCTTAGAGCTCAACATTCCTCTGCGCTTGTTTTGAATTGCTCTTCTGAGTTTTTGGAGAGTTTGGCAATACCTTTGAGAGTTTATTGTAGTGCCTCTTTCCAGGAAGTCCACCAAAATTACACCTTTTCTGTCCCAAAAAACAGTCGCCATCATCTTCCTTGCCGACATTGTTTGCATGCATTTCTTGGGTTTTTGGGGAGAGAACTTGTGTGCCCCCACTGCATGATTGCAATTTCGTTTCACAGTTCACATGTTTCACCCATGTTTCGTCACCAGTAACGATGGGATCGAGTAAAGAGTCACCATCCTTATGGTAAGCGTCCAAAAAGTTCAACGCTGCAGCCATTCGCTGATTTTTGTGGTCCTTGTCAAGATTTTTGGAATCCATCTTGCACAAAACTTGTGGTAACCAGCTTTCGCTGATGATTTCGTGCAACAAACTTCGCGAAATTTGTGGAAAACTCAAAGAAAGTTCCGTTATTGTGAAATTTCGATTTTCACGGACTTTAGCATCGACTTTTTCGAGAAGTTCGGCGGTCACTATGCTGGGTCTCCCACTTCGATCTTCGTCGTGAACATTGGTTCGGCCATTTTGAAATCTTATGACCACTGACGCCTCCACCTTCAGTGATAATGTTGTCCCCATACACTTCACGAAGCTGCCGATAGATTTCTATCGGTTTACAGTTTTTGCAGTCAGAAAACTTATTACTGAGCGCACCTCGCAGCTCGCGGGATTTTCAATTAACGCAGGACATTTCAAACCGTCACAGTATCTGAACGGAGCACAGCACGAACCTCTCACTAGCACGGCTAGATGCAGACTGAGCTGCGCAACGCTCTGACCCCAAGATGGCCGCGCTAGCCCCGCCCCTAGCGGACACAGACGGAAACGTAATCTACTTCCTGGATGGCCCTCGTATATTTTATACCAGTGCCTCTAAGATATTTTTTTCCAGGTTACTTCGAATTGTTAATTTTTGTTTTTAAAATTAATTTTGCGTACTTTTGATGTTTGTCTATAGAGATGGGTGCTTGAATGCAGATATGCAAGTCTGAAGACAAAAACTTTTAATTTCGTAGAAATTTAAAATTCTGGCACTTCAATGACCCAGCTAAACATACTTATGTAAAATATAGGCAAAAAGCTTTTAAAGTTTATCTAAGTTCAATATGATTATTTTATGAAAAAATTTAGCAAATATATATCACTGCATGTGTAAACTGTATCATGCTGTAACTGAACTAGTATAAATGTTACAAGGACACGACTCAGCTGAAAAAGTACAAGTACGTTGCTTTTTTTTTTTTTTTTTTTTTTTTTTTTTGCAAGTTTGCAAGTACGGTCCTTACAAGTTCTTATAAGTTACTGCTTATAAGTTTATTCTCCGAATACCCACAGCTGTTGATTCCGATTGCGTAATATCACATGTGGAAGGATTATGCTGCATGTATTGCACAATAACGTTTGGGCATGTATTGCACAATAACGTTTGCGGTATTTTGTAGAGATAATTAATTTTGATGTTCAGTCTGAAATTTGTTTATGAACACTTAAAAAGAGTTTTACTGTGCTTTCTAAGCAGAATATTTCTCAGTTCCGTTATATTATTATTTTTATATGATGCACATATCGAAATGTCAAAATTATTTATTTAGCCGAGAAAGAAATCTATGAACGGCTTACAATCTTCCCCACTCCTCTTTTTCCAGTTACTATACGGAATATTCGGCAATTTCCAAGTATGCGGGTTAGTTAAGCTTTACTGTTAAAGGATGACTGCACGAAGCAATTTCCCGTCATTCTGATTTCAGAAATGTGCTCTTTTTTACTTAAATTACTTTGCTTGGAATATATGTTAAGGGAAAAACTGCTATGCAATGAAAATTTCGAAAATGTTCAGAATTTGATTTTTTAAATTAATTATTAAATATTATATAAGTGGAAAAATAAATTGTATTTATATTAGGTGTCAAACGAATACAATTAATGTGACTTATTATTATTAATTTCTATATTTTGAATTGAAATTTCATCATTAAATCTTGTAATATAATATAGTTAAGTTCTGCATAGTTTTTTTTTTTCCCTCTCATTGTAAACTAATTCTGTAAATTGACTTTCATTTAAAATAAAAAATAAAAAAAAAAAAAAAAAAAAGGTAATTGTTTTCACGTTTGAAGTAATTCTCATTCTCTTAATAAATATTGCATTGCTCATATTTTAAATTACAAGTCTAATTTTTCTTTTAAGGTTATGTAGTTGTGTGTAATGTAATTAGACAGGTGCTTATTTTTTCCTTAAAATGTGCTTGAAAAGTGCTTATAGATGCTTATTTTTTTAAATAAAATGTGGCTACGAACCCTGTTTTATGCTTTAATATATAAAAAAGAGCATGCTTCATGCTATGATACCAAAAATCCCCCCCCACAAATACACACTTTCTATTATCAAGCTCTTTTTAATTTTTTATAAATATAGGCTATAATATGTCATTTTGTTCAGAAAGAAATGCTGTTAAATGATTTTATTTGATGCACCTCAAAGCTATTATTTCAATTTCAGCCTCTTTGACATCTTTTCAGCTTTTAGATCAATTTTGGTTTGCATCTTAAACTGGCCTTGGAAATATTTTCCCTCCTTTCACCAACCGAAAATTTATTTTAAAAACCACCTATTTTTATCCTAACCAACTCAGGGGAAGATTTCTCTTTCCCTAGTCTCTCATCTAAAATTTACAAAGACGATACCCTAAAGAATAAAAGCATGGCTTTCAAATCAGCAGTTTTTCCGTTCCTGCAGGAGATGGACCTAAAGTGCATTTCTTTTTTTCGTATTTTTAAATTAACTTTCCCTTTGTGTGATGTTATCACAGCCCCTTTGTGAAGATGGTGGGACCCTTAAATGCCAAATTAGTTGTCAATCACCTCATTTCATTTTCCCTGCACTCTAAGATTTTGGAAAATGTGAAGCAATGGCTATCTTTTGGGGCTAACATGCCACATTTAACTCCTACAATTGTGTAAGGTTTTGACGCCAGACGACTATTTTGAAATAGAGAGTCTTTCTCCTGGGAAAGGGCGAAGTGCTGAAATTAAAATTTTAGCTAAACAGAGACGATTGAGAAATTTGAGTGGAATAAACAAGGAATGAAAAGAAACTAATATACTTGTATTCAGTCCTAACACAGTAAGTAAACTCCCCATCCCTCTATGAACATAATACTGAATTCCTAAATAACTTTTAAGTAAAAAGTATTACATCATAAACTATTATAATATAAAGAAATTCTGTCATCTCACAGAGTAGAAAAGAAGTTTGGCGCTGCCATATATTGGCGTGGTACCTCAGTTTGGGCACCGATATATGTTATATACTGATCTTTAAATCATATAAATAATCTTCTTTTAATATCATTTCTGACTTAAATTCAGTAAATATATAAAATTTAGTATGTGTATGTCATTTGCAGATTTGTAGATTTTGAATTTTTTTGTTTTCCTCCAATAGAGCAAGTTATATTAATTTCACAACTGCAAAATATTGAGCATTCATAGGGTAGTGCTGCCATTTAGAATCAAAAGGAAATACTAGAAACTTACAATTACAGCTTTTGGTGTAGAAAAATTAGCATTTTTTTTTTTTTAGGAGGTTAAAAAATTGACAAACATCCTAGTATATTTTATATACCTATGCCCCTTAAAGAGTTAAGAAATAAAAAGCTCACCATTTCATTGAGATTATAAAATCTTAAAATTGTTTAACTTATGGGACTGAAAGCATTGAATGACAGTTTTTTTTTTTCCTTCTTATATTATCAAATTAATAGTAATTTCATCGTGTAACAGATTTTTTTTTTAAACTAAATATTTTATCCCCTTTGTTATTACATAAATAACATAGCACATGCATAATAATGGACATTCATGTTAACATAGACCTCTTTTTGTTTAACTATTTTTTTTTAAATTCTTAATTTAAATTTTGTATTAATTATATGTTTCATTTTTTAGAAACCACCAAAAAGGATGTAGTTATACAGCAGATGGCCACTTCATCAGCTTGCCACAAAGCATTTGAACAATGTGTAGAAAGGCCATGGTATCTATAAATAATTTTTTCTCCATTAATTCCAATTTAATGATTTTTTTCTGATTGCCCTCCGTAAGTTAAGCAAAAAATATCAATTTAACAGAAATGTTATTCAAATTAAAAAAATTATCAAAAAGGTTCTTATTAGTTTTTTAAGCAATTTTTCCATGGCAATTATGCCAACTGAGTTGTTATTTTAAAACTACTTATGACTGTGTTTACATTCAATTGATATGGGAAATATGATTATTTAAAATAAAATATTGAAAACTGTTAGCTGGTCAAATATTAAATGATTTACTTGTGCAATTTCAAACTGCAATATTAAAACTCGAATGTTTTTGTGAGGAGATGAGTTTTTGGACAGAGCAAATTAATGTCCAGTGCCATTAGTAAATGATTTTAAAAAATGGATTTTTATTACTAAAACAAACAGATGCACTCTACTCGCTATTGTGAACACCAATAACTGCAATTCTTTGATAATATTTGTAAATAAACTCTGAACCAAATATAAATAGAAGCTGTATAGAGTTTTGTTTTCTGTGGTAATATAAACTAGCATCAAACTCCTAACAGCCGGAGAGCAAATTATTGCTTTGTCTGAAATGAACTATAGAGTCCTGGAAATGTCTTAAAACAACCTTTTTATTAAATCAGAACTTAATATAAATGTACAACTCGTGCTTGACAAGCTTTACCACCACCACGTGTGGCGAAGTAACATAAAGTAACAGTGAAATTTTAATTAAAAATAAGTCTAGGAGCCAAAGACTACAAAATCTATTTAACTAAATATTGGCAGCTATTAAGCAATGCCGAAGAATTACAATCTTATTAGAGCTAACAGAACTTAGTTATGTGGCCTTGAGGGGTCTTGCTTTGTCTTACAACCCGAAAACCTCAGCTTAAATACTTTTAAACTCAGTGTGCATTCTGGTAGGAAAATTAAAAGTGACAGTATATATCTAAATCATAAAAATGGTTAAATAAACATAATAGAATGTTATAATGTTCCCCCACGGGAATTGAAGTAATCACAACGAAGGTCTTAACAATCTTGGTAAGATTTTTAAATTCTTAACCTAAACAGGAGCCAACTTTTTACGAGTAAGAAAATTTTAGCTCTAAACTAAAACTAATTTTGCAGAAGATTAAAGTCATGGAAGATTTCTTAAGGCGTGCTAGTAGTTTAACCATGAAAACTTCTCTCCTTCCAGGCATATGGAGGGAAAAACATTTTAGCAACCAAAGCTTGCACATTTCATAAAGTTCACACTGTATTTCAACTCACTCACATACACTCTCTATAGTTTTATTTCACACACCCCAGCTCTCCAGCAATGTACTGAATGTAAGAACATGTATCATTGTACATATGTTCCAACTCTAATAACCTGACTGAAATCCACATGTTAATAACTTAGACACATTATGCTTCACAAACATCTTAAATTTAAAAACTGTTCCTAATGTGCTAAGCAAAACTTTAATATTGCCTGAAGAGCCTAACTTTTAATTACTGGCATTTGACTACTATCTTTTATTTTAATTCATTATCCTTTGCTAGCTTGAACTTGGTATCCCATACACACATTGTCGATTCAACTTGTATTAGTTTCCAAGAGATTACTTTTGCATATAACATGTAATTAACAGAAAACTTTTATGTGTACAGCATTAATTTAGCAAACATACTTCATAAGACAATTCATTTATATTGAAAAGATTATTCACTTTGCACTTTTCATCAAAATGCACAGAAGTTGCTTAGAATTTATTCGACAAATAAGTCAAACTTTTCTCAAAACAGTCTCATGGACTAAAATCAAAATCTCATTTTCATACTAAAAATGAAATCATTGAAATAATACACAATTAAATTAAAAGCTTCTTGCTATACGTAATTCTAAAATGTCCTTGCTTGAGGCAAAAACGTAAATAGCAATTGTTGTACTTTAGACAAACTAAAAATTGAATACTTAAAAAATAAATTTCATTTATCTTTTGCTTTGGTGGTAATTATTAATCAGTTTCTCCATGAATTGACTCCAGAAAGGATATGTAATGGACTGGTGAATACTTATTTTCCGATGGAGGGGGCCTTTGCTTACCTTCCACATGCGCTGGTGTTGGGAAATCAGTCTCCCATGTGCATGTTCCATTTCTGACCAACTGGGAAATTCTGTAGATGTTGCTTTGTGGCTTCTGGCCTTGGTTTAGAAACCTCCTTTGGCATTCTTGAGCCATCATTGCCTGGGCTTGTTGTTGACAGGTGTATGGAACCTCTGTATGGCTCTTTTGGAACTTTTCATTGCAGCAGCTCATTGTTCACTGGGCATTTCACACATGAACTTCAGGTGGGATTACCATGCTTTTCTCATCACTGCAAATGCCTTTTAGCTACTGGCTCCTCATGCCTTGGCTTTTCACTTGCCGTTGCTGATTACTCAGTTGCTCTCTGGAAACTCCCTGAATCTCTCCCTGTAAAGGGGCAATCATATCTAGTTGACGCGAGTGGCTAGGCGAGGCATTTCCGAAAAACGAGATTCTAGTAGGACTGGTTTAAACGGGAGGTTTCCGAGATATGTTTCGTCTAGCCGAGGAAGGGGTGTTCCGGCTATGAGGAACATTTTGAAACTTTTCCCAAAATGTTTTATTCGCAGCTGTGTACCACATAGAGATCAACCAATTGGACGAAAATTCTGCTTCTGAAGGAACACGGGTAATTTTCAATATGGCGATGGCTGCATTTGTGAGATCCTAAACAATGGAAATAGAAGCCGATTTAATTGAAAAAATACGGAAAATGCAGTGTATACAGTGGTGGCCAAAATTGTGGACACTTTTGGAAATTTTTATGTTTTTGAACTTTGTATGCGTACAGAAAATGTTACGTTTCACAAAATGCGAACTTGTATAGATCATTTTAAAGAGAATTTATGACTGAATTCAATACAAAACACAAAATTCAATTATTTGCAATACAAACAAAAAAAAAAAAAAAAAAAAGGTAAAAAGTTTACAATTTGGGTGCCTCTTGTATTTTGGCGATTCTTTTTTGACACCAAAATCGATGCCAGGAAGACACAATTTCAAGATGGCTGCTACACAAAACCAAAATAAGAAGCCAAAGAATTGCATAAGCTCTGTGTCCATGTACACATCGATCTGTTTTCACTTAAAAAAAATCCCAGAATTGCACAAACTAGGCATTGCGCACAGCTTTAAATTTCACCAGGTACACATCAATCTATTTTTATTTTAAAAAAAATCAGGAGGCTAAAGTTCAACTATCATGGTAACCAGAAATGAGATTTCATCGCCAAAATTTTACCAAAAAAATTGTCGCTAATCGAAGGGGCACCCAATTCTACACTAGAGCCAAAAAAGGTTATACTGTCAAAAGTCGATAATCCGGACTCGTTGGGACTTTGGCGATTCCTGATTATCCATTTTTCTGGATTATATATCATCAGTTTAAATCTGGTAAGATGGTATGCAGAAATTATAAAATTAAAAATATGAAACCATAATTTTCATAGAAAATGTTGAAGTTTTATGATCTTGCATGCAGTATTTATTTTCTATATATTTTGAAATTTTCTATAAACATGCCAAAGTTGAACCAGTTTGCCGATTTGTTACCCGGTTTATATCGTAATATGTGCTCTTAGTAAGCATTTGAATTTATTACATAAAAAACGACTTATTCTCTTTCTGGAATATAAATGTTTTCATTTTGTCACTAAATTTGGGGATTTTTATTTTTGGAATTACATGACAGTTTTTTAACAACCATAATAACATTATTGTGCAATGTCTTTACATTAGTGATAGCATATTAAAATTAGATTTTTTTAGAAAAGCAATATTAAAATAAAACATTTTAATTTCCATTTGTCATCATTTAAAATGCCTTTAATTTTGTCAAGTATTGAATATGTAGATTGTGAAATTTAAGCAAGATAGTAAATAATATAAAGCTGAGTATTTTAATTACTTTTTAGCATTACAAAAAAGTTGCTGCAGATATTTTTAAATTTTGTTGTGATTTGTCTAATTTTCCACTTTTAAGAAAACTCCCCCCCCCCCATATAATTGTTTTAAAAATATTCAAATATGTGTAAGTTTTCTCTGTAATGTTAACTTTTTCTGGATATTTTAAAAAAATCTTCAGTTTTTACTCATACGAAGTTGGCAAGTATGTAAAATAATCTAACCAAATTGTGAATTTTACCCCCATTTAAATGTGTAGTAAAGTTAGTTTTTTTTTTTTTTTTTTTTTTTTTTTTTTTCCCCTTTTAATTTGGCACCAAGTGGTGTAAACATTGACTTGGAAATATAACCCTATGTTGGTAACCCTAATACTTATAATTTGGGAAGCTTCATGAGAAGAATGACTATTTTATTAAATTCTAGAGTAAATACAAAAAATAAAGACAATTACTAAATAGATTTTATTGGATTGATTTCAGAGTTCACAGGTGGCATAAAATAGCCAATTTCATTTAGCATTGCCAAAAATATTTGCATCCCTTCATATAGTCACTACCACATTAATCTGATGAGACAGAAGTCTAGATGGTGGTAGCCAGTGCTGCCCTGATAGTTATTTTGCTATTTTATGTCATCACATATCAAGATTAATGCTGTATTTGTTGTTAACTTGCAGATGTTAGTACGTGGCAGCTGCATTTACCTGAGTCATCTATCTACCAAAGCAACTGAAAATCTAGTAGAGATAATTTCTAGATTGATATTCATTCTTCTCATTACTTGCAACAATTTCATTGCACATTCATGTCATGATACAAAGAAGTACCACTTTTTGTCACTCTGATGTGCAATTTGCCATTGATGCCCTGTGAACAGAAAAGTATCTTTTTGTATTTTATATATTTAAGTGACCTTTCTCTCTCTTTTTATTTATTTATTTTTTCCAGTTATGCAGTTGAAGACGAAATTTTCTATTCTGTTCCATGTGTGGTTTGTGAAGTCCCTATTAAAATATCTTCAACCTTTAATGAAAACATGGTAAAGCATTTAGAAAAAGTGCATCAGCAACAAATGTGCCCAATATGTGGTCGATTGTATAGCATGAGCCTTCCTCAGAAATACTTTCTGTATCATGTTGATGACCATTTTGCTAACTAGGAGTTTTTTCCTTGCATATTTTGTTACGTTATTCGTGGATGTTTTCGTACTGCTTCAGACAGTTGTAATAAAAATTAACAGTGATACTACTTGTTTTTCTGTCTGTTACTGATTTAAAAAATATCAAAAGGACTCTGTTATTGTATTTAAATGTATTTGGATATGTATATATACATATATATGTATAATATATGTGTGTATATGTGCTTGCGTGTATATATATATATATTATCAAGAGTTAATTGGAATATGTTACAGCATTTTAACCCTCCGAGCATTACGAGTTTAGCCCTGAAATTTCAAAGTTCCTCAAAATGTCATGAATAAGTGGTATTTTTGTGATTTTAGTTAAAAAATGAATCTCTCATTTTGTACCTTGATTCCCTTTTCTTCCAATATACATCCAAACCGAAATCAAATGCATTAAAAGCTAGCAGAAATTTTCATTTGTAATAAATATAGAAGGCAGTCTTCTATATGGAATTTTCCAGCCGTAACGCTGAGAGGGTTAAAGTCAGATATCACCTAATAAACTTTGTCAAATAAAAATATAACAATATTAAATGTTCACAAATACAAATTCTGTATGCTTTGAAGTGTTGAAACCAGAAATGATTTTAATTTAAAAAAAAAAAGAGAGAGAGAGAGAGAGAGAAAGGGGGAAAAAAAAAAGGAAGGAAAAAAAAGTTAAGTGTCTAAAGGAAATAGCGAAGTTGGCTAATTACGCTAAAAAAACTGTGCAGTGTGTACTTTATACACAGAAAAGACCTGTTCAAATCAAATTGAACTAAAACATTGTAGACATGATTCATTTTTCAAAAATATCTTATTTCAATTTTTTTTTTTTTTTTTTTTTTTTTTTTTTCTATATTAATTATCTTGCCGAAAATTTTTAACATACATATAAAGGTTTTAAACAAAAGTTTTTAATAGATATTTGAGATAATATGAGCTATATAATTCCTTGCTCAAAAAAATTTTGTATCAAATATATGCCTACTGGTATCTGTAGTGTGTTAATATTTAATATAAGCTTATTCTTTGAAATAATTTTTGTAGTTTTACATTTGACATTGTGTCTTTTTATAGACTGGTGTGTTGTCTTTTAAATGCAATTGTTATTAAAATTTTTAATAAGGTTTTTCTTTTGTAAGAGCTTTTACCTGTAAAATGGTATTGGTATTGATCTTTTCTGACGTCATTATTCAGTCACATTCCATTTTTTCAGTTAGTTCATCTTTGTAATAATGATTTAAAATTTTTGTTTGGAATGGTCATTAGCAGCTTAACTTGTAGTTTTACTTTTATGTACGATCAATAAAAATTTTTTTTAGTATATGCTTTTGTATTTGTGCCTATAATTATAAAATTCGTCAAAAAGGAATTTTTTAATCAAATGCTTAATAATTATATATTGTATGCTGATTTTTTATAAAGATGCTTATAGCCACAAGCTTCTTGAGAAAGTGGTTTTTAGTAATTTGTCTGTTTCTATACAGATGACTTCAGAAAATTGTAAGCATTTTAAATAGTTTTAACTCATAAAGTTATTGTTAACAGTTATGACTTATTCATTTAAAAATTGTTAACCAATGATTGTGTATATCTTCATTCTGACTGCACAGTGATCTGAAAATAAGATTAAAGAAAGTGCAGACATGTAGACCGAGAAAAAGAGACTTTCTTATTCTGTTTTCCATAAACAATTTTCTGAAGTTTCTGTAATGTACTTACGATTTCTTCTAACAATTTTGTTGACTAGTTCTCATGTTATTTATGGTAATATCAAAAATAAAACATTCATTTTGCAGTCATCAGTTTAAATCTGGTAAGATGGCATGCAGAAATTACAAAATTAAAAATATAAAACCGTAATTTATGAAATAAAGAACAATTATGATCTAAAGGGTATCAAAATTTACAAAAAGAGAAAGCTTAATATTTATTTGTTTACTTTATTAAACATTTCTTTCAATGTAAGTTGTTTAAGTTGCTTCGTTTTATGTGATAATACTTTCTCTTTAATTCTATAAACAGACATAATTTCTTGTTCAGTTACAAAGTTCTGCTGTTCAAGTCCTATAATTGCTGTGTCGAGAATACCGACCAAGCTTACTTTTATAAAATTGCTCTAACAGTCTGCAAAAAATAATGCCGGATCCAATTCGAAGATTAAGGAACAACATAATCTGCAACATTAACTGAATTAGATAATTTTAGCCTAGCTTATACCGTCCGTTATACATTAAACGCGCATGTGTAACCGTATTATGCGCATGCGCAAACGCATATTCGCAGCCATAAAGGTCTTTTGCATAAACGCCTATGCGCATGTGTCAATGCGACGCATGCACAGAGAGTTTGTAGCTTTTGAGGTCCGGATTATGGGTGTCCGAATTAACGACTTTTGACTGTACAGTTATGTAATCACTCATGCAATGCAATAAAATCTCAGTCAATTAGATTAAATAATTTTTTATCATAAATACCATTGTGACTGCACATTCCTTTTTTTTCCCATTTTGCCTGATGATAGCGAACATGCCGCTTTGTTTTATTCATAAGATGTAAATTGCTATCGTACAAAATTTGTGGGAATTTATGTGCACCAGGGTTCCCTGAAAATAATACCTAATCTAAAAAAAGTCTTAGCATAACTTTCCAGAGTACTTCTAAATTAAGCCATAGTTAAGATCACCAGCCAGATGGGCATCTTATTGCGAAATGACCAAGTGCAGACGAAACACACATGCAGATCTGAAACAGATGTGGTTGTGGCAAATTAGGATCTTCAGTATGTTGTATTAGCACTTGATTTAGTTATAAATTTAGAAGATACGATGCTCAGATAAAATGAGTGCAAAAAGGAAGGTTCCTGGGTTAAAAATCATACAGCTTTTCCCAAAGAGAAGGAGTTGGATCTATGAATAGTCCAAAAATGGCAGTTACAGTACAATAACCTTATTCAACAGATCGACGAAGGAAATGCAAAGAAATGTGTATCAAATCGGCAACCATTATTTCCTGAATTGGATCATATCACTTATGAACAGATTGCCAGTAGAAGAGTTTGGTTGTTCACAATGCTGATATTCAAGCATTTGACCTTGTAATGGGTCTACATATATATCGCTAGATGAATTCAAGCATCACAACACTGGGTAGATTTCTTCTTTCAGTGATATAAACTGTCTCTAAGAAGATTGACAACACTATTCAAATTGAAAGATACTGAAGTGATTAAATTTGCATTTGCATTCAAGTGCTTCATTGATGGCATTAACGTCGGTAAGTACCAACTTTCAAACATGATTACTCTGGATGAAACTGCAGTATTCATGGGTCAAGTGTCTAAAACTCCCATTGATCAGAAAGGAGCTTCTGTGATATACATTACCGCCCCTAATTAAGAAAGTGCACACACTACATGTATTTTGGTATTCACAGAGTGATATGCTAGTTTGGAATTCTGGCAGCACTCACAATGCTAGAACCATGAAGAACTTCATTGCAGAAGGAACTATTAATCAAATAATGATTCCTGAAGGAATGTATGATGAATTTCGAATGGAACACACATGACAAATTTCTGTCTTGTATAAAATAAGTGTTAGGTAAAACTCAACCCATTTCTGTTTTGATCCTATAAAAATGGTGAAAAATCATTTGAAAACTTCAAAGACTATTTATATGGATGCAGGAAAATGAACAGATTGCAGGGTGTTAAGGGGGGATATATTTGTTTTCTAAAATTGACCACTATACTAAGATTCACTATTATATTTTGCACAATTCAAGATATTTAGTCACTTTAATTCTTGCCTATACTCATCAATAAGAGAGTGAAATTTGACTTTTGCTTGGGGTTTCCTGTAACACGGCTACTGAGTTTAGTTTTTAATTGAGAAATTCTTCCAAAAGTAAAAAATATTTATTCATTTACAGAAAAAATGTAAAACCTACTGCCAACTGAATTACTTGAAATGGCTTATAAATTTTTATATTTCCATTTATCTTTGTTAAATAGCCATTTCCTTTCAACTGTAATGCTCAAACTCTTATTTATTTTATGAAATATGTTCTATAAAATTTGTAAATTTGCTCAGTAAAGTAAAAAAGCAAACTAATGGAATCTTATGATAAGAATATTGCGGTTATTTTTAAAACTATCCACTATTCTTTTCTGTTACTTGTAGTTTTTGCTTAATTTGAGTATTATGATAATGAAAATAATTTTATTTCAATGTTCGTGAGAATTTGTGCATTTAATTTACTAATTCATTCTTTTATTGTATTTCTTTTATTATTATTCATTTCATGTAATCTTATTATTAAGTACAGATCAAAATGACAGTCCTCCTGATTTTCTGAAATACATAACTTGTTCGAATATAGTGAACTCCCCATTAATTAGACTGTAGATTAACAGGGCCTTATCACTAGAGAAATTAGGTTTGTTTATTGCAGAACGATGGAAAAATTACTAACGCAGATCATCAGAATAAAATAAAATTTCTATAGATATCCAAGAAGTAGACAAAATTGTGTTGAATAACAGCAGTGTTAGCAGATGATGTCATTATATTCAGAAATTATTTTTATTCACAGTAGACGTAATTTAATTGCACATAAACTGGAATACATATAAATACTTTGAAAATGAATATATGTACTCATTTTCAAATATTCATTTATTTTTATTAATTCAATAATACTTTGAAAATGAATTGTTGAATCACAAAAATAAAATAATTATATAGCTTCAGCTTGTTTCTTTCCGATTGATTTTTAACAAAATTTATATAAACTATAATATTGTTCTTCCCATTTTAAAGTGTGTTCTTGTTTTGAATTCGTATTTAATTTTCATAATCAAAGGAACTTTCTTCCTGACTAAACTGTCTTAAAATGTAGGTAAATTGTTAAAATCATTTGTCTGTTAATTACGGTACGGGTTATTTCTCTTTGCTGATTTGAGTTAACTAGATTAATCATGAACTGAGGTTATTCATAGATAGTCTATATGTATTTCTAAAAATTCCTAATTAAAGCATGCATTTTTTCACTCCATTCAGTCTTCTGAATTTAGAGAATATACTCTCTCTCCACATCACCTAAAGAAAAAGCAAAACATTTTATGAATTTTGAACATTAAAAGAAATTAACATTGCAACAGGTACATACAAATAAATGCTTGTCAAAAACATTGAATGCATATTCATTTTACTTACAAAGCATCTGCTACAGAGAACGAATTTTTAGATTTTAAAAGTGTATGATTCAAACTATTATGATTCAAGAAAGCGGAGAAACTTCACATTGCCAATTAATATAATGTTTATTATTATCCAAATTTATGACTATCGTATATTTAATCGTGGAAAAGGCATATTTCCCCTAATTCTGGAAAACGGCTGTTATTTCACCGAAACCCAAACCATTGGACAATGCTACCTCATATCAGCCAATCAACTTGCCACCCGAACTCAGTAAGATCGCCATATGCGTAATAGAATAAGAGCCTAATGGACTTTCCCTCAGAATAGAGCAATCGTCATTCCTGAACAACGTGGATTTCATTTGTGGCATTCTACAGTTCATTACTTTCTTTGCACTCTAAAGACATTAGAATATTTCGAAGCTGAAGAGTTGAAAAATGAGCAGTGCCCTCTCCAGGACTTAAACCACAGACTTCTTGAAGTCTCTTGCATTCCTCTTTTATTGCATTCCTTTTATTATTATTAATTTCATGTAATCTTATTATTATTAAGTACAGATCGACAGACCTCCTGATTTTCTGAAATACGTAACTTTTTCGATTATAGTGAACTCCCTATTAACCGGACCCACTCGGCGCATCTTCAAGAGGTCCATGGTTGACCACTATGCCATGAAGGCATGCTAGGAAGGTGAAAGAAATACCATATCTACTTCCCCTTTTAAAGGGCAACTGGAGATTAGGGAATCGCCAAATATTGGTGCTAGAGAATCATTCACCACCTCCCTTTTTTAGTTCGGGTGCCACTGGGGATACATTAGGCTATTTAGAAGCAGGAGATGTAAAAAATGAGCAATGCCCTCGCCGGCGGGCAGTTTATTTCGTAAGTGCACTTCTGTATAGCCACCGAGAGAGTGGGCTTCCAATAATATTTCTGGCCTTTTACATGACCTTTGCCGTGGTTTAAGCAAAATGGTTGAAAATGCTTCTCTACACAGTTTTCTTGTGTACAATAATTAATGCATTTTAGATTTCTAGTAAAAATTTTCAATGTGAAATTAACTCAAATGTAAACATATTTACATATGTAAATAATAAAAGTCTTAGCAATTTTTATTGCAGTCTATATGATATAATAATAGCCAATGCACAGTTTTATTCAAAGTGAATTTTCATAATTTGCAATCGTATATATTCAGTGTGGTAAATTTCACATCTGTAACTGTTCACTCTTAAATGTATTTCATGCGCAAGAAATACTGTTCAAACAGAATGGATGTATCTTTTTTCACAACGAATATTTTTAATCTATTCATATATAACTTTTAACAATAGCTATAATCCAATCATTCGGAATACATAACTTGAATCTTACACTTTCAAAGTCAAAGGAATGCAAGCATATTAGATTCATTGTAAGACTCGGGTCATTGCAAAACTTTTATTTTCAGTTGAATAAAAAAATTATACACTTGAATTCTCTTAATACTCAGGTGTTAGTAAACGAATAATATTGAAAGCTAATTGGATCTTGAGTCATTTTAATCCATATTAAGAGCAATAATATGCCACGAACATTAATCTGAAAATCAGTGTGGGATAAGCTTCACGAAAGTGAAATTTGTTAGAAGAGAAAAAAAGTTAAACTTATAAATTCACTATGAGGTTTTCTACTAAAATTGTAGCAGAATTTATACGCCATACAATACAACTGGGGAACAAATGCAAAATAAAACGTAAACAGCAACATTCGCTCATATTCACAGTTTCAAAGATTCAGCATCTGAAGAGCAATAGAAGCTCATTGGTCTACAATGGAATCCCTCCCCTCAGTGGCGATACTGATGTGTATTTTTGAATTATGCAGCTGGGCATCGAACATCGGAACAATCGAAGACGCGCCGAGTGTGCTGACCACGAAGGCATGCTGAGAAGGCGGGAGAAATACCTTATAGTGTCACTGAAAACAATTCGCAAATAATTAACAATCATGAATCAGATGGTGAACTCTTTCTCGATGTTTCAAATACTTTTGATCGTGTTTGGCTGGAGGTTGGTGTTGGTGTATTTAATTTTGGCAAAGCACACTAGTCCTATCTGCCTAAGAGAAAGAATGCCTTCGCGGAGGACTTTCTAAGCGAAACTCCCTCGTACACACGTTACACATGGGGAAAACACCCATGCAGCCAGCCCGTTCGTGGGATTCGAACCTCGGACCGAACTACCAGTGTTCAGCGACTTTACCGCTCGGCCGCTGGTGGGCTGTTTGGCTGGAGGAATCACATACAAATTTATCATTCTGGGTTTATACACAGAAAAAATTCCTTTCTTACTGACAGAAATTTTGTCTTTCTCTTAAAAGATATGTACTCCACAGGCCGGCAAATCAATGCTAGCGTATCACAAGGATCAATTATCAGCCCAATTTTATTCTTACTTTTCGTGAACGATGTACCTCGCACTCTCAACACTACTCTTACCATATATGCTTATGTTATTGCGATCTTTGTACGAAATGCATCTTTGTGTTCAGTTACACATGCACTAAAAAATCATATACATGCACTTTAGATCTGCCTTCAGAGATGAAAAATCAAGATCTGTGTGGACAAGAAGGTGGTAATGAGGTTCGTAAATCGACGAGTCATCCTTGTTAATATCAGTATGTATAATACTGTTATACTGTGGTCCAAGCAAGTAAACTATCTTGCGTTATCCTAGATTAAAGATTAGCGTAGAAGGATTGCACAGGTAATTTCGTAAGTTTCGTAAGTGTAAATCTACTCTTGCCCCTTTAGTTCGCGGGAATTCTGTTCTGTCATCAGATATCAAGTTATTCATATGTAAGATGATGTTTCGTGTAAAACCACCTATTTTTACGGAAAAAGTCGCCAAAAAATTCTTTAATGGAATCTCTTATGTCAATAATACTTCTGTTTCCTGTTAAATTACGATCCATAACATGTAAATAATAGTATGCAAACGAGCCATACTCAGAAATTTAGATTAATTTTGTTTGTTTATGTAGTGTTTTTAATTCCCTCCGTTTTGGTTATCCCTTTCTAAGAGTATGGTACCTGAATTGAGCCTTTCTCCTCTCTATATTCCACTTGCTTTCAGCTTGTAGTATTCTGTTTAGTTGTTTTTACTTAAATACCCACTGCATTTTTATTCTGTTACACTATGTAAAATTACTCGCAAAGTGCTTATTTTCATTTACTACCGGAACAAAACCTGTAGTTTCCTCTTACTCTGTTACTCCCCTCTCTTTCAGCCAATAGCTAAGCTCCTATCACGACTGCTCATGTGACAACTGACCACATCACTCGTTCTTCAAAATTCACTTATTCTACAGACGGGGGCACAAGAGTCTCCGTCGTTAGTAACCTCTGAGTTCTAGCACAGCATGTGCACAAGTACTTCTATATTATTGGATACAACTTATTCACTTCTTCAACTTATTCACTTCAAGTCAAGTATAATATATTGATAAAGGCCGTTAATGGCCGATTGCCTCTTACTAAGTGATAAGATATAGACATAGCAACTCCACTGTTGTCTTTTCCGTCAAGCCTCGCCTGCCAACTTGCACGCCTTCCCTCTTTAGTCCCATCGGCATCTACCTGCATCATTTTGTTACTCCGAACTTTGACTTTTGCACTTTTGTCTTACACTTACAAACTTATTCCTATTATTACCTTATTGCTATTTCACTTTGAAATGCTTATCATATAGTATCTGAAATGCTATCTTTGCGTTCAATACATAAAGAGTGTTTCATAGATCATGGGACAAACTTGGAGGTGTGGTGGAGTGTACTAAAACATGCATTTTTTATATAGGAATGTAGGGTCTAAAGCGACGAGTCAAGGCAGGAACATAAAAAAAAAAACCGACATGAGAGGAAAATGTGTTTATGTACAATATTAACGTAAAGTGCTTCTTTGCAGCAATACAGTATTCACAATAAATGTTCAAAGAAGGAAACACTAGCAGTAATAAGAACTGCAGCTGTGATTGGCTGGCAATGCAGCGGTAGGTAGCCGGACAAACCACGATCCGATGCATCAGAGGATCATCAAACGCCTCTCGCACTCTCACTCTGTCGGTCGCTCTCGCACATCGGCATACTCTCAGTTCGGAGTCTACTCTCTCGAGGACATCTTAACTTAGTTGATAAAACGTTTTTTCCTTCATTCCTAATTTTTCGGACGTTTCGGCTTCTCAAGTTAGATTGCTATCTTAGATAAGGATTGTTCGAGACTTGGTGAATTGAAAGGAGGCCTGGCGGTTTTGGATCGCTTTGGTCACGATCAAATTCGAGCTTTGGATTTGCGGAGAGAAGGACGTACTTGGTGCAGCAGTCTCAGGTTCGTAAATATCTTTGCATCTCTTTGTGTTTGGATTTTGCTAGGATTTTCTAGGAGGAGTATCATGATAGACATTGCTTTGCTTAAGGATAGGATTAAATATTTTGCGTAAAATATTTAAGATGGATAGCAGAGAAAAATTAGGAGCAGATATTGAATTCCATTTGGCTCAGGAAAAACCTAAAATTTTATATATTTGCGCCAACGGCACACCTGAGGTTATAGATGGCACAATTGCCTATGTTAGCATAAAACGTAATCAAATTGATAATGGATTAGCGATAGTAGCTAATGATAGCGTAGAAGAAATTCATGCTCTAGAAGAGCTATTATTAAACATAAAGATAAAATTAACTCTGACGATCTTCAGGAAATTTTCAAGGGGAAAACCAAACTTAACGAAGTTATTCATTAATGATAAACTAATACTTCGAACGGCTAGGAAGATGAAAATAGTAGCCTAAAAGATGAGTGGATTAAACCAAAAAAGACTCGTAAACGAAATTTAAGTGAATCTAGTGATATT